TGTCAGGGGGCGAGTTGACCTGACACCGAGAAATCATAGGCCCTCTTGTCATCAACATTTTCTTTTCCCACAAAGAATCAGATTTCAAATTCAAGACTGGATGACTTTTAATGGAAGAGTTCCCATGAAAACCAGTTGGTGATAAAAATCAAAATATGGTCTATGCAGAATTGAGGCACCACCAGTTTCAACTTGGAGCTGAAAAAGTTTTTTTTTTTGTGGCCGGTTCCGCAGGTTGCAGAAAGGCAAGGAAGGTACTTGGCCCAAACCCTGAACAAGAACTCAGGGAAGGACGGCCCATCCTTCCAGTACCAGAGTATGGGCATGTTGGCCTATGTGGGGGACTACAGGGGTTTGGCCAACACACCAGTCATCAAAGGTCAAGGTGAGATCTGTGAAACCTCAGTTCCCCCGTAATTTTGGAATGGAAAATTGTACCATTTCAGTTCCACATGTGATTTTCTGTTGGATAGAACTGTCGACCACTTGCTGCCAGGGGACCCGTTTTTGAGCACATAGGCTTTATACACAAAGCTGGGGAGCCCGAAACCGGGACAAAAGAGCTGGGCCTTGTAACAAAAGACCGTGCTCGGCACAAAAGACTGAGCTGCTGGGCATTACTGACATTTTTTCACTCTCAATGGATGTGGTGTGTTCCAGGTTCGTGAACAAAAGAAAGTTACATAACATCGCGCACAATCTGGGCTCTTTTTACAAGGCTGTTGGCCTGGCTGAAATACTCTGGCGTCAATAGATTTTGTCTGTCAGGCTACAGTGGCCACCAGACAATAATTCATGTGGGTGTAAAGGTCCATTAATTGAAATGATAAATTTTTGAAGATTTTTGAAAATTGTGAAATTCACCCGTATGTGTGCACTGCATTTTTCAAACCACCCGGCAGCATGTGGTTAAGAGAGTTTGTGATGTACATGCAGAATGCAGCTGAACAGTGAACAGAATTGGGTCTGAATCAGAGATGAGTTGAAAAAAAGTGTTGCCCTTTCTATTACATAGCACAATTTGTTGAAATTCGGTTTCATTGTGCAGCCAAGTGTTAACTGCTTGAAAAATTACAACTGAAAGGGTTGGGCAAATGAACAATTTGAAGAACAAAGCGCTAGGAGGTACTTGTTACGTGGACATATATGTTCGTTGAATCTTTTGCACCACATCCAAACTAAAGAAGACACCTTTTGTCTTATAAATTTATTTCCAATTTCTTATTTTTCTTTAACCCCCACCAAGAATGTAAGGGTCACGCCTTAACCACTCCCTTCCGAGTGACCCATTTTCGAGTACATAGGCTTTATATGCAGAGCCCGGGAGCCCACAACTGGGACAAAAGACTGTGCATTATTGACTTTTTTTGCTCTCAATAGTGGAGATAATCCAGCCTTGTTTTGAAACAGTATACCACAGTTGGAGGCATTTAGAGCGAGCGGATTACCACCGGGGACAAAAGCTCTCCACCACCGCAACAATGAGCCACACAGCACCGCTGCACGGTTATCTGGCCCCTATTGAAAAGAGATCAGCAGTGCACTGTGCCGGTTTCGAGAACAAAAGAATCTGACATAACACCACACAATCTGGGATCTCTTTCCAAGGCTGCAGGCCTGGCTGAAATATTCAAAAGTCAATGGTTGTTAACTGTCAGCTTTAGAGTAGTGCCCAAAGAGTCCTTCATATTGGTATAAACGGCCATTAAATGAAATGGATTTTTGAAGAATTTTGAAAACGGAAAATCTTGAAAAGGACCCAGCATCTTGTCTTGCTCAAGAAAAATCGACCAAGCCGCAAGTAGGTAAACAAGAAGTGTAATTATTATTTTGTTGGCCTCAAACTCTCTCATGATAATTTGGTGCAGGATTCTACTCCTGGTTGCTATGGCGGTCTGCCTACCTCACACGGTTGGGCAGCTGGAGGTTAAGGATGCAGGTGCCCATTGACTGGACCAAGACACTGCTCTTTGGTAGAGACACATCCAGATTCTAAGATTATAAGGGTCATAAAAGATAGGATTTAATTACATAACCTTGCGGTGTCCAAATTCAAGAGGCATTTAGGCATAAATTGCAACCTTAACATAAAGTCTTTGTGTTGTTTGGCCTGTTATACCTCAAAACATTTTTATCAGAACTCTATGACTTGTATTTATATTATAGTGATTAAATTGTTAAAAATTATGACTACTTTAGTTTACTTTCATATAAATGGATTGAAATACTGAGATTATTTCAGGTCAAATGATTGTATATTATATGTAGTGTTTATGAGTCTGGTGCTAGACTAAGTGTAGTCTATCAGTGCTGTAACTTTCTCTTGAGTATTGGGTCAAAATAGTTACTTCATGGACTATGATTCAGGTTGGATGTCCCAAGGCAACTAATGCCAAAATTGACCGGTTCAACATGTGATAATGTTCAGGGTGAAAATGTGCATTAATAATTTGCCAAATTTGTGAAAGTGGTGTGTGCACGAATTGGCCCTCACTTGTGTGTGACTCAATGTCTAGACATATGTGTAAAATGTCTAAAATGTGTAGAAATATATTCTGAATGAGAAATGTACGTGTGCAGTGCAATTTCTTTTAGGGGGAAGGGTCTTCTTTATGGTGTAGTTGCACTCGGCATTTCTTTTTTTTTTAGCATTGTCATTTTGAAGTAATCTGTGTGAATCAGTGATCTGAAAAACAGTCAATAAAATCATCAATTTTGTATTTTCACAAAAACTGCGGTAGCTACCATTGAGTTTTCTGAAATTGGTAATCATATTTTAATAGAAGAAATGAAATACTAGCAGCAAAACATTCTATTCAAGACTACATTTACATGCTAACATTTAAAGATCTTAATGTAATTCCAACAGGCACATGCCTTATTGTGGGGAAAATCAAGTACCTGTGAGCCTGCATTGGTACATGTACTCTAAACCTACTTGTACATTCCAATGTGCGTGCAAATCATCAAAGTAGCATGCATATTCAGAAAGCATGCACCATATTCGGAGGATGCTCTACATGAACGCATAACATTTTGACCTAAATTTGCGGGAACTGTTACAAAAACCGATGAATCTACATATTAAGCAAGAGCTGGCAGAAAGCCAGTTCCAAGCTAAACACACATGTACCCTCTATGGCTAGGTGATAGGTAACCTTATTTAAGCTAAGCAAACTTTTACTGTGCTTAGTTGCCTCAATAAAACTGGCCCACGATATTAACTCACCAGCATTCAATTAATACAAATGTTAGTGAGCCATCTGGAGAGATTCCATGCTGTGGAAAGCTAGGGGTGTTTAATGGAAATTGTAATGAGCTTAACTTTAAACCCACCAAAACTTATTTACAATCCACTGCATCAACAGGTACTGATAGGAGAAATAGCATAATGTGAGTTAACTCTCACCATCTGCGTAACATACAAAACTCAGGGCTGCCAACAGATTTGAGGTTGTTTAATCGTGCATTATTATAATTTCCTCTGGAAAAAAAGAGACAAACTAGTTGTTGATGCAGTTATGGATTTTTATATCTTGCAAAATGACCAATAACAAATGATTCTTTTCTTGAACTTCCTTCCAAAGTCTAGACTAGAGTTTGTTCACTACACTAACGATATATTTAACAGTACAATTTCAAGCCAATGACTATGCATTAAATCAACTGGATCAAGCATATGATTCGTACCTCCCATATATACACCGTTTCAACAATGAAAATACAAAATGTGCAAAAGCTCTGTGGGGGATTTTTTTCTCAACTGCATTCTTTGTTCACAAAAGAAAAAAGACAGGTAGGTTCATAATCTGTCCAGCAACAAAAACAAAAATGCACCTGTTTACACATGTACGTTATCATGCCCCTTCTACAAAACCTGGCTTGCTTGGACAAGGGTTATAAGTATTCAGTTTGTGTAAACAAACTTGAAGTTGAAGCACTCACAGGGGAGTCCGATTGTTCCCTTCCAATATCTCGGTGATAGTTGTGGGTTGACAGTTGGATACTCTGAGAGGGAAGGAATATTTTGGGACCTGTCCTGCTTTTGTTAGAGCAGGTCCCGTTATAACAGTTAAAGTTCTGCCAGAATCTTTCACGTTGGAGACAAATCTTTGAATAGCATCATAACAGAAAGCCAAAGTGTACTAGCACTGCTCTGGCAAAAACATGTACTGAGACAAACTGGGTGCCTAACGTCCATGAATGTGTAGTCGCCAGGTCCCTCATTTTGCCACTTACTGTGAAAATCAATCAGATTTGACTATAGCTGGTGAAATTTGGGAACTGGCGACTAGACAGTCACAGACGTTAATGACACTTGGTTCAATAAAGCACAAAAAAAGTTGAGTGAAATTTACTCCAAATTATGAAAATTCAGGAAATCGCTCCTGCAAAACCTGGACAAAGTAGAACAGAATAGAAATGCTTACAGATAAAATTTTAATAGATTAGGCAATGATAAGGTATTGATCGCTTTTGTAGGAGATATGAGGAGGGGTGAAAAATTAAGATGTTTTATTGGAAAGCTGACAACCATAGAACTCAAAAATACAAAATTTCAATTTAGCCTTTAGCAACTCTGATTTCCTGGGAACAGGACACATATACTCCTAGTTAAGAACCATTTGTGGTTACAAGCAAAACCGTTTTTGCTATCTCAACACTGAAAAAAATGATCACTCTTATCTCACTAGCTTATTAAACTTGATACCCCAAAAGTAGATCTTGCATTGAGTTCTGGACCCAATTGCACAGCTCTCTGTATCAATGACCTGTTCTACATTTGCGGTCACCATTCTGTGCTAAGAACCCCACTTAACACACAGAATCCTACATTGCAGGATGTGTGCTTGTGAGCAGGCCGAAATCCCTCCTTAGGATGTGAAATGCACTGAACCATTCCCACAAATTTGTTCCAGGAAGCAGCCAGCCACGAGATTGGGCACTGGTTACTGTAGCAGCTTACAGATAACAAATGAAGTCTTCATTGGAGACATATTCCTGTCTAATCATCAGACCACTGCTGTAGTACAAAGCATGCAATCCCCAATGACATACTTAACCCATGATGTTCCAACACATTTCACATGATTGACTTATCCAACTACAAGACCAGCATCCTGTACAGTATGGGGCAAGTTGGGGCACAAACATCCTACCGCGAGTCAAATGCTTTATAAAAATAAGCAAGTGAAATACAGTTTTGCTTGAACATCCCTCGCTGAACTATTTTGCAAAATCTACTATTGTCGCTCTCATTATGCCGTTGGCTGCAATTCTCACAATGCTCATAGTTGACGACATCTCCAAGTATTTTAATGTCAATGGTTCCCTCTGCATTCATAAAAATTAGTAAGCAGCTGTGCAGCCAAGCCCCAGGGCCTGGTGCCAAATGGCTGACTAGATGGTCCAAGCCATCCATCATTTGGGCGATATAGGCAACTGTAGTCATCACTCCAACTTGCCTGATGTCATTAACAAGAATGCTGAGCTTCAAATTCTGTAAATGGCAGCAGCTTTTAAGTGCAGGTCAAAACTGAACGCTCTATGTCCTAAGTGAGGCGTAAGTTGACTGCATTACAATATGATTCACATGAATGGGGTCCGTTCAGAAGTACCCCCTCACTGTTGACAAACAGAGAAGCAGGGCTGACACTCAACACTACTGACAGACAAGTTCCAGTGACTGCCTTTTGTGAACCACTGGTCAACTTAGCCTGGTACCCAAGATGCATTTTATGCACACGTTACCAGGGAAAACCAACTGGTGGTCCACATGTGGTCGTCACTTTAACTTCCCCGGTGTTGTGCGCAAAGTACTCATGAGAAGCCCCTGTATGCTTGCACAGTTACTCAGGATTAATCTGTGCCATGAGCATGCACACGCAATGGTTGAAGGTCCTCGCTAGGTCCAAAAAATACTCATTTTACAGGTGCTTCGTGCATTAACTGCGGAACAGCATGAAAATTAAAATTTAAGATCCTAACGCAACAAAAAATCGCGACCTAGTCGGCTACGGCCCTCCTATATTTGGTGCAAAAATTAAAGGCTGTCTTTTAGAGGTTTGTTTTCAAATTGCCTTGCTAATTATAAAAAAACACAAGATAGAAAACAAATCAACGAGAGATCTACAATATAAAGAACAAAAGAATTAAACACACCAGAAATCCACACTCTGGAAACTCGCTCATAGATTCTTAAAACTTAAACACACTGTTATATTACCGCATTCACTGAAATTCATCAAAAGGTTTAACATTTTCTGAGTTTGTACTTTCACGCAAGATACTCCTGTCTTGTCACTGGTAAACAGAGATATGGCCCAACCTAGGTGGATGTGGTTGGGGGAGGGGCTGGGGCTGCGGGTTGGGTTTGGGCTGGGGCGGCCACTGGCATCCCACTGGTGCCAAAGCCCAGCCCAAAGCTCCGCTGAGTGTGGGTCTTGACCCGGGCGATCTCGTACTCCTGGTCCAGCTGCTTGAAAAGCCTGGCCTGCTCCTCCTGCTTGCGAACCGTTTCTTCAGATTCGACTGTAATGATGAGGCAAGAGGGAGGAAAAACATGACAGCTACAATAGGTACATGGAATTTGTTTCACTCCTTGTTCTAATCAGAATTGGCCAAAACTTTGTGCACAAAAGCTGCAATGCTCCATCAACACAGAATACAAATGGAGCCATTTGGAGGGTACTTTGTGCACGTCAGAGGATTAACCCTCCTATGCTGAAGTCACTCTTTAGGTCATTTTGTAAACACCTCAAAGAAGCACAGCTGTGTCATGTACTGCACCAAGTGACCCTCACAGGAATATCAGATTGCAGTTTTGTGCTGCCCAACAACTGTGCTTCACTGTTTCATGCGCATAATTGTGCAGTAAACCAAATGCAGTGAAGAGGACTGCACAAAAGACCTTGGGTCATTTTGTGCTGGCAACCTACTGTGTACACACTGAACCTGTGCATGTTTGTGTTCCATAGAGAAAACACATGCAAGAGAGTGACTGTGGGCACTTGTGGATATTTGTGCTGTAAAACCAGAGGGGTTAACATGAGAAATATCAATGGTTGTGCAGTGTGGGGCATTTTCTTCAGGCAAGACATTAGAGGGATACAGTAGAGAGCGATGATTGATGCAAATAATGACCATGAAATTATACATGTCAAATACTGAATTTGTATGGGTTTCACAATACACCTTGCACTGAGGACATTAAACACCTGACAAACTTGACTACTGCTTGAGCGTATCATAAAGGTCACAAGAGGGCTCCTGTTGGCTGCCGTAACCACAATGCATCAAAGGCAAAATTGCAACATAGCTCTTCCATTTTGTACGGAGAACTCAGCAGTGATTTTGGACATTGCTTATTGAAGCAAATATTGTCTCCGATAAATGACAGTTAACCCTGAGGCATGAAACACATTTGCATTTGTAGTCTAAGTGAGTGGAGCATGCCAAAGCTTTGATATGTCTATCAAAACGCAGCAAGTTTTGACACAGTACTTCCACGGAGATCACACGTACCTTTCAGCCAAGTCCCCTAGCCCCAAAATTAATGGTCTCACCTGTTTCCTTCTCCCCTTCCTCTTCGCCCTCCTTGATTCCCATCAGTCGGCGGAACTTGGCCTTGGTGGCATCGTCACCAAACGCTGTCTTCTCCCACTGGTTGCTGGATGGCTTCTCAGCCATCTACAAGAGAGAAACAAGTCATATTCTACAAAGTCAGAGAAACACAAACCTCACAATCCATAAAAGCTGAAATGACTACAAAGCTGCAAACTCATGGATGTTGATAAACTAATTCTTTTCCAAATGCCCATTTATACAAACAATAATTCCAACCGAGTCTATTTTGATTGAATGCTTATGACAAATTTGACAAACCATGTATGAATGAGCTCTGTCCTTACAGCTTTAACAAACCGACACAATGGGCTAACAGCAAAAACTGAAGATGTAGCCACAAAATGCCCAATTTAGACAAAGTCTCAGTTAAGACACAATTTATCAAGCACTACTAGCACAATTTGCTAACTGCAGGAAAAATCCACTTAACAAGTTACCAGAGTTACCAGACAGAAAGCGGTTGTCAGTGCACTGTTTGTGGCTGGTGCCCTGTCAATTTCTGCTTAGCACACAAATCTACTGATGACTATCTTCCTCCAAGCAGCTCTGTGGAACCGACCAATCCACCCTACCACTGTCCACATGAACAAATAACACATGCTTTCTCAAATGCCAAACTACATTTTCCAGCTGCATGCATCATATGTGTGCACGCATGTCAGACACAAATCACAGCTGTTATTGGTCTGAACACAATGGGGCGGGGTTGAATGGATCGGTCCATTGGCTCCTAGGCCTCTGGTCTACACCCCCCCCCACACGCCTCTTCCTCCCATGCCTCTTCCTACCTCATCCTTCTTGCCAGACCACAGCAGCTTCCTCTTACGTGTCTGCTCAGCGATCTGCACGGGGTTGACGGCGAGAGGGTTGTAGTACTTGGGCACGCTGACACCAGTCTCAGCCAGGACTTTAGCCTGCATGGCTGCAGCAGCTGCAGCGGCCTGGATCAAGGGGTCTATGGCTAGCGGAGTCAGGGACATCAGAGGGGGTGGGTTCAGGCTGGTGGCTGCCTTTTCCACTCCTTTGGCAATCTCTGCCAACAGAGCACAGAACCGTGAAAAGAATTGAAAAGATAAAAACTGTAGAAATCCACAATGATGAATGTCTAAGGCCTGTATTTCACTGGACAGCGATTGTGCAAACGACATTCCCGAAAGAGTTTCCAAACTGTCTGGAAACGTTCGCAGAGGTTCTCAAATTTCCTCCGTTGAGTCGTAAGGTCTCGCTTTCGTGTCACGGGAATTTGGAACATTAAAAAAATTTGTGCGACAAATTTTCTCTCAAAATAGTTACAGAGTCGTCACGGGTGTCTTGAACCCGTCTCAAACCCTTCTCAATTTCAGTTTCCGTGAGTCGGAAAGTGGGAGAGGTTGGTGACCTATGAAACAAAACTGTGACTGGTTGACAACAAAAATGAGAATGTAACATTCCTGACGTGAGACCGTTGCGGGATAGTCACAAGTGTAAAATTTTCACACTTTTGTTGTGCAAATATCACTTGAATGTCATGCTACAGACCCACAACATGTGCGCGAACTCTACGCAAATTCTGGCCGAAATTTTGCCGGTGACATATGCAAATGTGTCATAAGTACCACATCAGAGTGAATCCAAGTGAAAACTGTCCCTAGATTTGTGGATTTTCTCACAATTTTGTGTCTCCAACTAGTCTTAAGCTGTCACAGCCCAGTGAGATATGGGCTTAGGGATCCATAAAAAGAGCAGGTCACAGGTTATTCAGTGACCAATGATTCCTTACATGCATAAGATCCACAAGGCCAAAGGAGTGTTCCGACAGCCAAACACTTTCTGCTCCACTACTGCAGCATTGTGCAGTAAAAATGGTGCAGTAGACTAGCTGGCTGACCGTTTTCTGACTTATCATACGTACACACACAATGTGGAAGATAGGCCAGTTTTCAAGGCCTGTCCTGTTGTGTCAAGTCAACCTGCTGAAGGAATGGGAGACTGAGGGCTGGTTCATACTCCCTGCGTTTGCACACACGCCGCGCGTAATGTCAACCCCACTTTTGATGTTCATACTTTCATGTTTTCTCAAGTCTCGGCTGCATGTGCGTATCCGACAAAAGTTTAAAAATTTCAATTTGTCCAGATACGCATACATTTGGTGCGTACGCACGATCCCTTATTTTCACAAACTGCGTGCAAGGGCGTGCGTTTTCATTACACACTGCGCTTTCCTTCACACACTGCAGACACCTCAAAATAGACCTTTGTGTTGCATACACAGTGAATACGCAGCGAGTATGAACCGGCCCAATGATGGTGGCAAATGTCACAGTCCCACATGACAAGCCCACAACAAATACATGGCAATGACACAAACAGTTTACCACCACCAAGTGTCTCCAAACACTCCAAGTTGATTGGCACAGCTCTGACTGTATGTTTCTTGACTAGCTTGTATATAAAGCACAGCAGATGTGGACTGGTTTTTCGATTTGTCAAGGTTTCCAACGGCAGCTGGGCCAAGTGGCAGTCAACAAACCCAGCCGTACCTTTCTCCATGGCCGAATCCTTCTCCTCCTTCAGGACCTTCTCTTTCTCCTCCTTCTCTCGCTTCTCCTTCATCTCCATCAGCTTCTTGGCCCGCTCCAGCCGACGGGCCAGGGCCTCCTGGGCATGCATAGCCGGGTCCCTCACCCGGGTCATCGGGGTGGGTGAGCGGCTGCGGCTACGGCTGCGGCTGCGCCGGCGCCTTCTGGGGGATCTGGATCTGGTAAGATTGCATCGGGGGAGGGGAGGGAGAGAGACAGAGCAATCATTTTGGATGGGTTTTGTTTGCTGAACAGACCGGTTGGCAGCTGTTGACCAAACAGCCAAGAGTAAGTTTTCTTGTACAACAGGTAGCACAATGCTTTTCCCACTATGGATAAGCTTCCTGAATGTACAATGCTCTTGTGCTTAAATTGGTCTACATGAATATAAATCAACATTTCATAATGAACCGGATTCCCAGAAAGAGAATAGGGATTACGAGTCAAAACTTTGGATCTTGAAAAGTCTGTCAGATAGCACTCTCAAAGATATGGTGGCATGTTGGTGTTTGCTGAAGTAGCTCCCACCGAAAAAAAAAAAAATTCAACAAGTCAACTTGCATCTGTACATACACATACAATTTCATTCCTGGATTCCTTTTAAAGATTTGGTTAGTGAAACTATGGGTGGTACACATACCTTGAGCGCCGGCGACGTGGAGAACGTGATCTGGATCTTGGTCTTCGTTTCCGCGGGCTTCGGGACCTAAAAATGCACACACAAAGAGCACTCCGTGCAGTGAGGAATGTCTCAAAACTATTACACAGCCAAAATATATCCTCTTGAAGAGAATTTTTCAAGAAATTAGCATCTGTGTTTATGAAGTCAATTACTGCATGGCAAGAAACTTTAAAAATCAGATGTTACTTTTAAAGAGGAACCTGGACAACCAGCTTTTTAAGATAGTTTTAAAATCTACTAACAATGAAGATGAATTGCCTTGATATGTCAGTTGTTCTGCCCATATCTTATCTTGTTAAGTATGTATTTTGCTATTAAATACAAACCTTGATCTTCTACGCCGTTTCGGTGTGCCAGATCTCTTCTTAGACCGTGACCTGGATCGTCTATTAGATCTAGATCGCGATCTCTTCCGAGACCTCGAACTCGACCTCTTGCGAGACCGTGATAATTTGCGGCGTCGAGCTGGTGAGCGTGACCGAGAGCGGGAACTGTGGCGCCGTCTCCGCCTTGGGGACCGGCTCCGCGATCTCCGTCTGGATTTCTTGGGCGTGGCGGACCGGGAACGGCGACTGGATTTCTGCTTCCTCTTTGCCGGGGATGCCGATCTTGACCTGGATTCCCGGGCTCGACTTGACGACTTGGGCTTAGGGGTGGGTGACCTGGACCGCTCGCTGCCGGACAAGGACTGGGGTGAAGGGGAACGTGCGTCTTTCTTCTTAGGAGATGGGGAGCCGGATCTGGCAGGGCTGAGTGAGGAGGATCTGGGTCGCTCGCTGGAGGAATCCACTTTCCTGCGACGGGAGGTGCTGACCTCAGCCAGCCGTGGGGACGAGGAGGACACGCTGCTCTCCTGTTGTGGGAAGAATGCTCTTTCAGGGAAATGGCCCAACAACAAAACAGTGTTAGTGTTTTGGGAACCAGATTCTGATCATAACACTGCCAAGCTGAATGTGCATGTTTCAAACTGAGCCAAAGTGATTACATGAGTTTACCATTTCAACAAGTCCACTGAGTCACTTATAAAACCTTTATTTTTTAAAATTTCTTTGTGGCCAAGAGTAATGTGGCCAATCTACATGTAGGCTTAAATCTGAATCTGGCTCAGTTTAAAACCTATTCTGATACAGAACAATTCAGTACTAAAACATACCTGTGATATTTTTTACTGCCAAATGGAACTGATACTGCATGCAATAACTGTTGTCAGCAGATGCACCAATGTTTACCTGATGTCCACACAATAACCCTTTCAGTGTCATGTACATGTACAAACATAGAAGTGTGCCATGCATGAGCAGGATGTAGGAGACCTAACCTACTTCTCACAGATTCATATGTTATACTCAAACTTTGAAGTATATGTACATGTTACCAGTCCAAAGGGAAGGTGTGCTGAGGGCTGGACTGGAATTCCTTGCTCTGCTTACAGCGAGCCAAGAATTACAGCTTATTACAGCAGACAATTCCAAAGTCTATTTCGCAGGATGACAAGGAACTTGTCATCTACTGCTACAGGCATGGAATGGTGATCATAAATCTAATTGTTCTATGATTAGCTAAGTCAAAGATAATTGGGCACCGTATTTGTTTGTGTGCACATTTCTGGACGACAGGGCATTTGTGGTTCACGTACATGTATCACACTGAAAGGGTTACATCTATCTGGACATAAACACAAGGGGGCATTTTATCGGTGCCCACTGAAGGAGTCCAACTGCACTTTGCTTTACAGATTTGGTAAGTTGTTTCCGTGTCTCGTCAAGACGGTTCATGAATACAGCATGCTGTAGATCCTATCTCTATTTGTGTGCATTCACCAGATTTGCTGCGCACATTATCCACTGGGTCTGCCTGAAGTGTTTATGAATGAGTTATAGGAAGTATTTTCCTGACTGGGCATGCAAACACCCTACTTGTGCCACTGTTTGCGAGTGACGCTAGTATTTACTAGTGAGGAGAATTCTTTCCACAATAAATACAGCTAATGAACATAGGATGCAGCTGGGAAACAGATGAACAGTTTTCTTTTCTTTTTTTGGAGCAAGCGAATAACTTAATAATGATGGTCCGTATCTCTTTTTTTTTTTTTTAAAGGAAATCAGCAGTACATGTGCGAGTGTGTAGCAAGGCACTTTGCAGAGAGTGGCATGCAATTTGCAACACGGAGTGAAACACTCTTGGCAATGAACTCTCTGCCTTTTTTTTTCCCGGGGAAAAAAAAAAAGAATGAGGAGGGGCAGATTCACCCCGCTCCTTCGGTGTCTGGTTTGGAGGGAAGGTCGGGGATTGTCGGGTCACTAATACTTAGATATTCACCTGGTGTGCCGTACTTTGCTTTGCTGTGGGTGCAGCCTCAACGACGGGGTGGGTATCCCGGCGCTCAGGAACAACTGACTCACGGGACGGTGAGCCAGGCTGAATGATATATTCATTGTATATGGCAAAGTAGGTTATCAACTAAAGATCTTCCATGTGGCTCTTAAACCTACAAGGTCTATATTCACATCACAATTGCTCTGCTCCGCCCAACCCCCCTTTTACACAATTTCAATAAAAATGCCGTTTTGACAGGCACGTTGAAAAGATTTTAAAAAAAGAATGAGTAACAGAAAAAAGGCAATGCCATCGATTTACAAATTCCTAAAGAAATCTTCTTCAAAAAAATGCAAGCATTTTTGAAAGATTTTAGCATTACGGAAAGACAAGTCATGTCACTTTCTAAGAAAAACATTTTTTAAAAAGCCACAACGTGGCAACCTTTCTAATGAAAAAATGAAAGGATTCTTTTCATTTGTTACCAGCCAAAATATGTCACAAGAATTTAACCTTACCTGAAACTTTGAAAAGACTGAATGAAAAAAATGCCATATACTCGATTTCTAAAATCTAAAGGGCTAGTTATTTCTACACACAAATGGAATCCAAATCTACTTCAATGCTAATTACACAAACAAACAAAAATCCAATTTATATACAAGCTGTGAGCCAACATTTAAGTAGAGCAAACCAGTGAAAAAATGACATCAAGCAATACACAGCATGATGTCAACGAGACAAGAGGATGGTTGAAACCAAATGCGATCTTATTTGTCGCAATTACTTTCTGCAGTGTACTAGCACGCTGCACCCGTTTGCCACAAAACACAGAACTATTCGATTCAGCTGTTTGCGAGGATATTTGAACACATCACCGCTCAGCATCAACAAACTTGGAAGAATCTGTCTCTGCTGTCAAGTGACCAGACCAGACAGTACAAAAATGAAGGCTTCTCCAGGATAATGCACCTTTCCTGTGTTAAACCGGCCAGCATGACCTTCAGTGTTGACTCTTTACAGAGCACTCAATTCCTTCCCCTTTTATGCTTACATTCAGCTTGTCCTACAGAATGTTTGGCTCACACAGACTATAGTCCTTAGAACAATTTGACCCCGGATTACTAAGCTGACTTACGTCAGAACTGCGTGCTCGACGAGGACTTGGACTGCGGCTGACACTCCTCGATCTACTTCGACTCTTACTTACACTTGGACTTCGACTACGGTTGTGCTTCCGTTGTCGTGACCCTAGTGGATAAAGCATCACCGTTTACAAGTGGCTTTTACTATTGATATACAAGTAGCTCTTTCCAGGATATTTGTATCCCCACTTTCTCTAGGGAGCCTAATACACGTATATTCAACAGAATTCAATGTGTCTAAAATAAGAACCCTACTGCATACAACAAAATGCATTGAAATACAACAGTGGCATTGTGTAGTGCAATGAGTAAACATCCAAGGCATAGAGAACCACAGTGAATACGTCACACGTACAATTAATGTGTAAAAGACATTAGCGCAAGAACCAGCGCATGAACCAACACAAGCGCGTACTCCATTCGTTTGCACTGCACTTTCTGGTTCACAGTGATGTCACACTTCGTTACTCTCACAGCGTACCGAAGTGAATACGTCACATGCACAATTAGTGTGTAAAAGGCATTAGCGCGAGATTTTGGATTTTTGCCCTGCCCGACATCAGGCAGGGCCAAAAAAAAATCCAACATTAATTTACATCTCCCCAGAGCAAATCCATCCTTGGAAACAAAGAAATTTACCTGCCGTTTAAATCTGTTCTCACAAGGCACCGCACCCCCTTTCCTAATTGAAAGGTTCCCCTTCAAATTTTGTAGGTGTTTCCAAAAAGCAAAGCTTGTGGTAGGAACTCTCTAGCTGCTTCTTTTGTTGACTGCTCTGAATGCAACAAAACCACAACTTTTGACCACTGTTGCATTCTGGAATTTAGTAAGGCCTGGGTCAAAATGATTTATTCTACTTTGTTTTCATTGATGAGTGAGCATATCTTAACAATTTACTCAGTCACTTACGATCTAAAGATCTTCGCCTCTCTCTGGAGGCAGACCTACTTCGTCTCCGCTTTCTGTCCCGTGACCTTGAGCGACTGTGCCTTCGTCTCCTATTGCTGGGACGTCTGTGCTTGGGAGTTCTTGATCTGGAACGCCTTCGCCGTAAAGGGGATCGAGACCTGGATCTTGATCTCAACCTACTCCGACGCTTGGGCGACCTGGATCGAGAGCGTCTCGGAGTACGTGATCTAGAACGCCGCTTCCCTTTTGGTGTCTTGGATCTTGAATATTTACGCTTTGGCGTTCTTGACCGAGACCGGCGCCTCTTTTTGGGGGTCACAGATCTAGACCTGGATCTGCGCTTCCTCCTGGGTGTTGGCGACCTGGAATGTTTTCGGGTTTTGGGTGATTCAGAGCCAGAGCGGTGATGCCTGGATGAGCGTTTTGGAGATTTCGACTTTGAGCGAGACAAGGACCTAGATGAGGACCGCGAGCGGGATCTCGGAGACCTGACTAGGTCAGTGGTCACCGAGTCCTGAGGCAATTTAACTAGGACAGGCTGGTCTGTTGCACTTTGAGTGGCATTTTCACCATTGTCAATCACAGGGTCCATGTTAGTACTTTTCCCAGTAATTTCAGGACCAGATGTCTCCTCGCTTGGCTCATCAGTCATCTGTCCATGCAGAAGACCCTTCTTCATTCTTTTATCTCTAAGCTGTGGACAAAATGCAAAAGGCAGATTCTGTGTAAGCAATTAGCAACAATGGAAAAGTGGAGCACATGGGCATTATGACTTGCATCAGCACTGTACAGTATGACCACAACAATCGCATTTGCGCCTAAAAGATAAGTATATGCAAACAAACCTTAATTCTTACCGCCAATGGCGACCATGATTTGTGCCCGTTAGTCGCCCACCTTGTCAGTCACATTTAACAAACAATCGCTGCCCACTTTTCTTCTACGTGCACCGAGCAATGTGTCTCCATGATCACATGGTTCTTTTTCCATCTTACTATGTACACAGCATGAGCCCACTTGAACTGCAACGTAACTTACACGCAGGTACATACACGCACGTACAGGTACTAGGTACCTGAGTTGACTGGTTTGTGGTTCCATGCTGTATAGAGCGAGTATGGGGAGCTGAGACGTTTCAAGTATTCATATAAATACACTAGCAGTCTACGCCTGCCACGATTTCAGTGCAATAAACTTGTTTCAGTCCGAAATGTATGTTAAGTTTGAAACCAAAGCTTCCCTTGGTCTGGTCTGGTCCCAGGTACAAAATACTCAAAAACGTAAGAGAACAAACATGCCTTGGCTTTTCTTTCAGCTTTTTTTCTCCATTTAATTGGTTGCCATTTTTTATTTATTCTGCAAGCACAAAATCCAAAGCCTGTCTGTCCTGCAGATAATTGACAGAATAATGTTTCTGTGTGTTTTGTGAGATTTTGTAAGTTACATGTAGCCTGTTTATTTTGCAAATGTGTGTACAGTATGTATAAAAATCGACCTAGCGCCTAACTTTTTTTTCTAGGACCAGTGGTTCCGCATTCAAATTTCTGCATACAGCACTGATTTGCATATAGCACTGCAAACAGTAAACAGTCATACATGTACTTTTTGTCACCCAGCACAATGTGCAACAACATTGAGGAAAGAGATCCAAAACCTTGTTATCTTTCCCCACTATAATTTTGTAAAACGCTTAAAGTTTTATAAACATGCCTAAAATGTTTCCTAAGAAAATTTCAGTGTGAATGGACATATACAGACGATGCTAATTTCCATTTTTTTTGTTACTTCTTCACGTCTCTCTCACTCTCTCCTCTCATTTCCTGTTAATGCTTAAGACCCCACAAATTTAGTACCACTGGAAAGAGAATTCAAAAGAAATTGAATGGTATATAATTTAGCTCAATAGCTGCTAGTATAGTGAAGTTATGAATTTGTTTTGTTATTAAAATTAGGTATACATGTAATTAGTCCGTCACTTTTTTGGGGCGGACACAAGTTTTATTTTCATCAAGGTATTTGAACCACATGGGGTCTTGATCCTCATTGGTTGGACACATATCTGTAGTTGAGTCACAGAGGAAGTGTAAAGTAAACAATATCTTTTATTATGGAGAACTGTATCGATAATAAAAATGCATGTGTAGGATACATGTACATGTATACAGTAACAGCACAGTTGAGTTGGGCTTGAAGTTTTTAGTGATAAATCACACATGTGTGAAAGAACACTGAAGCATAGTTTTGATGTGATAGTTTGTCATCAATAAATACGAATAGGGGACCAAGTCTGTCAGGTGTCATAAGTTATTTTAAGTCTGTTTGTGTTTGACAGGGTCTTTTGATAACATTTGATTGAAATAACGTGTGGTTTTTGCCTCCTGCTCCCCATGCACCATGCATCAATCTGACACACATGCATATACCATGTCCACAGTTGCGCGACATCAGGCCAATACAAAAGGGCAGTTCGGCACCAGTTCAACATCATTTTTGACAAAAAACAATTTCCTTTTCTTCCTGAAATTCCAAGCTTCCAAATAAACACCATATCATATATGTTTCATCAACTCCTTATGTGTGTTTTGGGAGATTTTTAACAGAAAAATGCACTTTCTTGTTACCTTTTTGTAGTCTTCACAAACCAAAACAAGGCTTGGCGGTTGACGGCACTTCAGTCAAATGCCTTGAGTCATACTCAAATGAAAGAGTATTTTTAGCTCTACAAGATGCTGACATCATTCTTCCAAACCTGGTCAAGTCTTGCGAGATACTTGTACATATATCAGGCTTAGATGAGACCATGTCACATGACAACAAACAAAGGCTGATCTTAGTTACATTATTTTCATCAAACTTTACACCCAAAACTCGGCACAAACAGACATAATAAATGGTACTACGCTAATACAAATTGTGGTTCTTTTACAACAGAACTGCTTTTTAACATATAAAATTTGATGCACAAAAAGGACAGAAATCATTGATTGAAAACAAACACTTTTACACGCTTTCAGATATAAAATTTAGAGTTGGTGTTTCACTGGACTCCCTACTGGGGAGCTTTCAAAATGCCATAGCGTGGGGAACCATCAAAAAGGTGGAGTGCAGAAAGGCCTATGGAGTAGTGCCTTAATGTTTAGAAAGTAGGCTAGTACTTTTTGGTAGTCTGGTAGTAGGGGCCTAGTAGTAGCAGTCATGGCAGTAAAGTTGGAGATTGATATGACCATGATAACCAACAACCGCGTGCACCCAAAAAGCCAAAGGCTAAGTTGTTTCCAATGCAATGTGCATGACGAAGCACTCCAACATTGAAAGAGATGTGGTCAGCATGGTCAGGTTGTAATGTACGGATCGCAAAAAAAATAAAGGTGGCAACAAACACTGCATTTTTCTACCACTAATACACACACATTTTCAAGCCAAGCCCAACATGCCCAAAACAAGAATTTTCGTTTTTGGCCAGTTGGCTATAGACCTTACGTTAGTAATACACTAATCATGCTAATAAATGGGTGCCTGCAATCAAAGCCATGCCACAATTTGCCTGCAAAATAGCCGACTCGAACGCAAACTGAACAACATGAACAGCAACAGCAAAAGCCGAACGGCGGCTTACACAATTGTCTATTCCTTCCTCCATGCCATAGCCCAACGTTAAGGCTGCGTTAATCTTCAAATTGCTCGCGATGTGCAACGTTTCGCATGTTTCGTGTTCGTGTTCAAAGTATTCATTTTCGTTTCATGGGGCTTTGACTGGAGTATTTTTAATGTAAAATGGCCACGCTCAAGAAAAGAGCCCTAAGCACACACATGGTACCAACCTTTTTTAACAGTTCTTCGTTCAGTGCAGTAACAGCAGGAGAATTAGCGCCACTTCTTGTTTCACTAGAATCGCTCACGTACCCAGAAATGCCGTCCATGTTGAAAATGGAAGCGAGTAATATCACCCAATTGGGGGAGATCATGGATGCGTTCATTTAAAATGTAGGTGGGAGCATTTTAATTTAGAGTGTTATTTTTTCCTGGTTGGGGTCCAATAAGTTCTTCTTTTTGATCTGTGTCTAATTTTCTATGCAAAAAGTATCTTTAAGCTAAGCTTTAAGAATATGGTCTAAATTTACCTTATCAAATAAATTAAAATCTTACACCACATTTTATACTGACCCGCTTTCCCTGTAGCCCAAGTGACCGCTGCCTGAAACCGCTGCGCATTATATACGCGGACCGCATGTACGCGCATGTGTGAATATATCAATACATGACACGGTACGGATAAAGTATCATCGGCATAGCTGCGAACACGTGCCTGCGCCGAGCGAGCTAGGCGTATCTGTGTTTGTGTTTTTGTGAACGCAAATGTACATGTACATGTCGTCTGATCATACTGTTGGAGAGTTGGAGAAGTAAAGTTAGTCAATAGCTAAATTTCAAGAATGGTTTTAACCCGGAGCCAACGAAACGCGAAAATAACTCCAAAATCAAAAGGCCATTCTGAGGAATCAGGTGGATATGATTCAAGTGTTCAGGAGAATGACCTCGACGTGCGGAATCCATCACCTGCTGATGATGAGAAGCCACAACCTGACTCCACTACAACACCACCAGTCAGTGACAAAGATGCAGTTACAACAAATGATGGATGTCCTCAGGAAAGACCTACAAAAGGCAGGCGGAGCAGGAAAAGGAGCAGGAAGAGAAAACTGACTGTTGAGCGTGAAAGGCAAACAGGGGAATCTCTAGAATCGTGCATCTCTTCCACATCCTCTCCTGATAGAATGCCAAAGGAATCTAGGTCTAAAAGTGAAAAAACATCTCCAGACAATGGGATGCAAGACATAGATATTTCCAAACTAGTCCCCACTGCCACTTGTGGAACAAAAGAAAATGCACCCACAACATCAGAAATTGAGGAAGAAAACAAGCGTGATGAGAGATTAGAAGTCAAGGCTTTGAATGTTAAGGAGGTGTTGCAACTGTACAAGCAAGAATCGTATGCTGATGGACAGGCAGTCAAACCCAAAGGAAGGCCCAAGTCTGGCAGAACATGGAAAACAGAGCAGACAAATCGGTAATTATGTAAACTCAGGGATTGCTAACCCACTTACCAGTTCTGAACTCAAACTACATGTACCTTGTCATGCTTATATTAGAGTTACATGATGAATAGTCAAGTTAGCATGCCTGCCGTGTTGGCAATTGGTCGGGTTGGTTTGAATCGAGTAGGTAACAGTCAATCTGTCTGACTGGACACCAGCCATTAAGGGACTCCCTTCTGAGTTGGTTATCCTACTTATGGATGTTATTCATAGGCAAATCAAGTCAGGATGGAATACAATAAATTGTCACAAGGTTCAAGATTGCGCTTAACAGAAATCTTAGGAATGCAGACTGTAATAAGAACATACATGTACCTGTACCTGTATAAATCGTTATCCACTCCGAGTGGAACAAAAGAGGGTATGTTTTTTGGTACTCACTGCACAGACGCGCATTTGTAATGGAGATCAATGGCACGTACATGTACATGGAGAACGCATGCAAGACCCGCTTGGAAAACTTAATACCGTCTGTCTTTCTTTTGCTGCTTGGGGGTGCACTTTAACTAGGGGCAGATAGGAATGCTATTTCCATAGTCAACGTTCCAAATGTAAACACAGGTGTGGGGCCCAGGATAGAGATGAAGAGGTGTAAAGTGATACAGTAGGTTTGCACAACTGCTCAATTTGAACTTATGGAAATGAATGAAGGCCAACTCCTTCGGTTATAACCATGCTTCCCAAAAGCGGCTCTAAATCTAACATCAACTTTTTCTTCTCAGTTTTTCAGGGATGAAGCAGGACCGACCACTCAAAAGCTCCTGGCAGAAAAAAATGCAGCAGAAGGCAGAGATGAAGAACCTGAAGGCGTTTGAAGCCGAGTTGAAGGAGACAAAAAGCAAAGAGCTTGAGGTTTGCTCCTGTCCATTAGGGACTCGAGGACGGATGTCCATATGCTTTTAGGAGAGAAAGGGGGACTGGCATTTGTCCCTCTTTTATTCCAAATTATGTTAAGCTCCCCCCCCCCAATTTTTGCCTATGCTGAAGTTAACTAAGTTGTATACATGTGTATCTCAAAATCACAGACATGCTTCCTAGATGTTTTGTGATTTCAAAATATATTGCAGTATCTCTCTATCTTTTGGACAGGATGGCGCCAGACATGCACGTGTACTGGTACTACAGCATCCCTGGAGACTTTTTGGAACCAGCCCCATGCAGACAACGTAGCATTAACTTGCCCGTTTTATGTGTGTTTTGTTTGTATCTGAAGTCATTCATTTTTTGCCAATACCTTTCAGAGAAAGAAACAGCACAGAGCCAAGAAGATTAAGCGCAAGCTGGAGAACGAACGGAAGTCAGAAATTGTTCAAGTGGTGAGTAGCATCAAGGATTTGAGTCATGTGTTGGTTGTCTCTACAGGACAGAAACTGAACTGGACTGAGTGAGCCAGCTGGTTCAGTTTAATCTGAAAGCTTACATGCACTTTGATTGTCTAGAGCCAATTTCATGATGCTGCTAAGCACATGAATTTTATGCTAACAGATGCTCCACGTATTATGGAGCCTGTAAGCGGTAAGCAAAGCAAAAAGGCATGCTAACCTTGGAGGAAACATTTGCTTAACATTGTAACAAAACAATGGAAATCTCTGTGTGCACTCATGAAATTTTTGTGCTGAGCACAGCAACCGTGAACTGTTCACCCATGAATTTGAGAGCCAGCTGAGCAACCCTCACGTTATTGTGAAAAATGTTGTCTTTACAGATTTCCAATCCTGCCAAGATCAAGCGGATGAAGAAGAAACAGCTACGGAAGATTGAGATGCGCTCCTTGCCTGACTCCAGCAAGAAACAAGTCTTCAGTTCATAATTTTTTTATTCAAGGACAAAAATTTACTCTTTTAAAAGTCCTTATGCAAACCGTGTCTCTAAATAAGGGCATGCGAAAATTGCACATTCAGCACTCTCACACATTAAACCTCGTAACGTACACAAACGAACTGCTTGTACTTCCTGGCAGAACTGTTTATTCAGCCCGTAAAAAATTAGCGAGTGACAACAGTTGACAATAATTTTTCACTTCCATTATGCGAAGAACGGTAAAGGTTTGTAAATACAGTAAGTATAGTAATTATATCAAGAGGATAATTTGTTTGTTGTAAGAATGACAATGACAACTACATTTTTACATGAACTGTTTACCATTGGTTTTCTGATGTGCATTTGAAAGTCTAAACTTTGAAGACAGGATAAATACGACTTCAGTTTATGCATAAAACAACAGCAAGTGGAATAAATTCGATACAAGATGGAGCTACAGGTGGAAATGTGAAGAACCTGTTGTCCAAATGCAGTCTTTTCCACAAAGGGTATCTTTTATTTCTTCATGTACATGTGTGTTTACACGTGATTGGATCTGCCACTATACACAGTTGGCAAATGTACCACAAAATAATTCAATTAAACTAATTAGCTCACGGACACCATTTCATTTTTTGTGCTGTGTTATCAAGCGGTAAAGGCCACAGACAAAATTCTCAATTTTTTTTGTCAATCTACACAGCCGAAATAAAGTGCACTATGTACAGTACAAAAAAATATTTTTCATTTTTATTGCACAAAAATTGAAGAGTGGTTTGTGTCTGTGTTTATACATTATTAACAATGGCATATCTACACATTGCGTTCACATTTAAAAGGTACATGTAGATCTGTACCAGAGTTTACAAGAAAAACAAAAGAGAAAAGGCTGATTCATATTTGATGTACATGTATACTACACATGTATCACACACATGGCTATCCCTCCTAATCCGTGTAAGAATTGAAATTTTGTTTACTGTATCATGCCCTGACTTGTCCTAGGCTGAGAAAACTTATATTTTATTGGGAAATTTGGGTCCGAGTTGCAAGGACACCAACTGCCTCCATAACAATATGTCCCAGTATTAACTATGGTTCAACGTGTGTTGTCCAATCACTTGGAAACAAGTGTGTGTAGGCAGGTCTTCACCTCGTTAAAGTGGAACAAGTGTGTTTGCTCTCCACAGCTTTAAATATGCCAAGGGATCACACAGTGGCACTGGCAAAAGCAAATGAAATGCACTGGCATATTGGATTCAATCTGGAGGTAGGAGGTTCCCTCATTTGGAGAGAGGAGGTTCCCTCATTTAGAGAGACGGTTGATCTAGTCACAAATAATGGCTTGCTAACCTCTAACAGAATGATGCTTGGACAAGTGTGCATCTACAGTGCTTTGGCTCAACTAAGGTAATTTTCAATATTGGAGATAGGAGTTGTCTAAGACGGGTGTTAAGTCGCATATTTATATTACAATCACAGAATGTAACCAACAACATGTACCACATGTACAATACACTATATACATAACATCACATCACACATTATATATTAAACTATATCGGTTTTCACCACAGACATGGTGTATTCTAAAAGTTTCTGTGTATACAGGTACAGTGTAAAAATTTGCAGTGCAAAGGTAGGCCATTGAAAATGTCTTGCAAAACACCAGTAAATATCGTTACAAGATGATTAATACATGATCGCATTAACCATTTGCTGCCGGGGTTCCCAGTACCGCAGACCTTGATTGTATATTCGGGTGCTTGAAATCAGAACTTTGGAACTGGGCCGTTATTCATGGCAAGGGTAACCGAACTTGGAAAATATTTTAACAAAAGACTGAGCTGCTGGGCCTTGCCGATCAAGATTCATATGCTGTCAGCACAGAGTGCTGGCATTAGTGGAGGTAATCCGTCGTTCATTTGAAACGGTACCATCGTTTGCCGCTGCCAATGCCCGGGAATTTTTAGCGGGAACAAAAGTGCTCCAGCACTCCAGCGATGAGTGATACAATACTGCTGCGCGCTCATGGAATCTGGCCGCATTAGTAAAGACAACACCACCGTCCAGCAATGCACTGGGCCAATTTCTGGAACAAAGAGGAAATTATGCAACACCGCACAACGGGGCTCTTTACTGGGCAGCATGCATGGCTGCAATACTCGCATATCAATGGAGGTTGCCTGTCAGATAAGACTTACCACAAGGCAGTCATTCGTTCGGGTGTACGTGTCCAGTATATGATACAAATTTTTGAAGAATTTTGAAACCAGAAAATCATGAAAAAATTGTCTGGCAGCACATCACGCGTGCCACTAACTCCACCTGGCGCGAAGTGGTTAAGGGAACAAAGCTTTTCTCAGTTTCACCACAACAGCGGCAACAGAGGTGTCTTGAGCTAGGACAACTCAAAGCCTGTGTTGCTGGTGATGGCATAGCGCAGCTTCTCCTTGAGCGTGGCTTTCTTCTGGTAGTTGGGCAACTTCAGAAGGTTGAAGCAGGTAGAGGAAGTCGGGAGACGGCCGACTGGGTCCCTCTTCTGGATGCGCAGGAATCCGCGCAGGACGCTGCCGACAGTATCACCAGTATCCTGTAAATGTATCCAAAAAAAAGGTTGCTATCAGCTTGCAGACCATATCAGGCCTGGTACTCAAGAACTGTGCTCTGGTAAAGAGGAGGTCATGGGTTCGACTCCCACCAGGAAACTGAGCAGAAGTTTTTCAGTCAAGTTCTTGGACAGCACTGAACAGTGTTAGATAAATTACACTGACAGAGAGCAAACCAAGCATTCAAAGAGGAGCGAAGAGGTTTTTGATGTTTGTCTTACCTGGTCATCACTGACTTCAACACAGCGTATTGAGAAGGGTGGTTCTAGGTGTGCAAAGCCCAGGAGAGGTGGCTTTGAACAGCTTGTGACAAACTGCGAGAAAAAACAGCAGCATTAAAATGTACATGCACACAGGTTGCCTGTTTATTTGAAGGTACTTTATCTTTTTCAAATATTTACTGTTCAAGAATAGGAGAAAATTCGTAAAGTTTGGCCTTGCACCAAAGAACATAATGCTTCTTCAGAACTGGGAGCAGCGCTGAGCTTGAGGAGTTTCTTTGAAGGGAATCAATTCATAAAACTAGTCTGAAGACAAAAGACGGAGGCCAAGCCAAGATTTAAATATCTCAACAAAAAACTGAAGTTGGGCCAATCTCAATCCTCATCTTTTGTATAGGGCTTTGGCTCTGTCCCGGGGGTCCTCAAAAAGCATATTAGTACGTTGTCAATGTGCAAACAAAATGGACAAATGCCTACTTCTGCTTTGCGTTTATTTGAAATTTTCAGCCGCAGGAAAGGAAATCACATTGAGCCGTGATTGAGTTGGGAACCTAATAGTAAGGGGCTGTGGCCCAAACCAGGGTTGCAACCAAAGTGTGGGAAAATGGGCTTCGGTGGGATTACCTTGAGGAACTGGGCCCTCTCTTGGGCTGTGAATTCATTGGCCAGCACATCAAACAGCCAGTTGATGACTCGGTGAGAGTTGTGAAAGCCTCCATAGTACTGAGTGTGTTTCCTGGACCATGAAAACGAAAAACATGCCCTCCTCCATGAGCATCACTGGCTATCATGCACAGAGCACATCTTGAAATTCATTCAAGTGGGTGGCAAAACTTATTAAAGTCTGCTCAAAATTGTGATGCCTTACTATTTCCAACATCCAAAATCTCAAAGGTTATTCGATGTACATTACTTCATCTGAGTAGTTAAATTTTGCAAAAATCTGAAAACTTCTGAAGGTCACTCCTGAAGTTTTGTGCCACTTTCACCGTCGACCCCTACAGTTATTACCAATGACACAGAATCCAACAACAGCAAAGTCAGACACGTAACGAATCCAACAGTCAAAGTCTTCAACTGTTCAGATCCAACCAAATCCCCAAACAATCCCAACAAAACCAAGCAAACATTGGCTGCTATTGTGTGGATTTTCAATAATGCTTGTGTATCTTTGACGTGTAATTCAAAAATTAGAACCTGTACAGTGCTCACGGACAGGTGGAATGCACGTTACATGCCTCTTCGACCAATAGGGTGTTGTGATTTGCCAAATGCACGCACGCATCAAGCATTAAGAACGGGCGTGGGAGTGCAGTGCCACTGCAGTTATGACATCTCTCTAGGATCAATCTATACAAGAACTCCTGGGCTCATTAACATTTGATAATTATACCCAAAATTTGATCGACTTTTCATACCTGAGGTCGGATAAGTCAATCTCAGCATTGTCGCCTGAGATGAGCCTCTGCAGCTCTGGCCCTGAGAACCACGACAACCACTCCGGGTTGATGATGGACCGGAAGCCCCTCTTGAAGGCCTTGGTCTGGTCCAAGATCTGTCGGTACAGTCTGTGGTGAGCCATGAGGTGGATGTAGCTGATCCTGTGACAGTAACAATTTACAAGTTGCAACAGTAAATGGTAACAATGTTGCATGTGGTTGAGAAATGTCCATTTTGAATTCTTGGCATGCATCTGTGTGTTCTATTTATTACCAATTCCATTCTTGGATAGCTGCATTAATCCCTAACTACTTATAATGCACCAAAATTTAATCGTGAGCAACCTGAAAAATAAACACACATGCTATCACCCCTCCCCCGAAAAAAATCAGTCACATGTAGTTTGGGAACTTGCTTTGCCCAGACAATAAAAATTTAAAAATAAACAGGGTACCATTCTAAAGGCAAGTCACAAGATATTTGTAAGAATAGGAAAAAAAGATATTGTATGGTGTTCACAAGCGTGCAGTGCATACAAATATAAAGCCCAGCTGAAAAACTTCCCAGTTAGCTCTCTCCTTGCCAGTGAGGGTGCACTTCAACTTGGCTGGACAACCCTATAACACAGATACTTTAGTCTGGTTCCTTACTTGTTCTCATTGGTGACGGCCACTGCTTTGCCTCCAGCTACCAGTTCATGTGTGTGGATTTTGCCCATCACATCTTCGTCGTACGAAAAGACCAGGTCGAGGTCTGAGATGTCTCCCTCATAGTGCTGGGACAAACACAAGACTTATTGTCAGACTTGAAAGAGATTCAGTGGTGATTGAGATAAACTGTACAGGTCCACATTGTTAACGCTTTTATGAACAATTTTCGCAATGCCGGACAAAACTAACTTTTCCAGAAACTTGCATTTCAAGTTGGTCACTTTTTAAAACAGACATTTTGTCGGGGTTACTTTCACAGACTTTCTACGATGTGCAATACACGCCTTCAACTCGACATTTAAAAGATGATTGAAATGAACTGGACAAGTTCTAAATCTGATGTTTTATATGAGTCATACTTTCCCCAATTTGGTCTTTTTAAGAGAATTCAAACTGTGATTTAAACTGTCATTTTTATATACATGAGGGTAAATTTGTTTATTTTATACTCGTCAATTTATGTGTTGTATGATTGTATTGTTCCGTGTTGTATTCTACATCTATTTCTATTACACCAGGAAACCAAATTTCATTTTCTTTTATACGATTGAAGGAAATGACAAAATATATCTACCTATATCTATCTGTCCACCTGCATGAGTTGATTAATTACATTGTGCCAAAGAACAGATCCAAAACTGCTATAATACGCTAGATATTGCCCTCCCAAATGGTGAATTTGGGTGTAGTATGAAGACTACTTATTCACACAAAATTCATCCCTTTGTGAAAACCCCAAAACGAAAACAGCATCAGCTGCATGTTGGCTTGTGCCCCTTGCAAAATTGTTACCTTTCTATACAATTAAAGAGTTGAATTCATTTTTTCAAAAAAACTCAGATTGGTAAATATTGCCCTTCATTGCTTATTACACAATCTCTACAAAATTTTGCCCAAGAAAAACATCCTGGTTTGGATGATTTTAATCATTTTCGTCAAAATGATTTCACCGAACTGTGAGCATCAGAAAACCTAATTGATTTTTGCCCCCTCAAGATAAAGTGATGGCTTAGGCCCACATTGGTTTGTGACAACGGCAAACCAAATGTACTCCATCAGGTCTGACTCACCTTGACGTAGGTGAGGTTCTTGTAGAGTTCAGCATCCATGGAGGGCAGCTCGTCGATGGGGCTGTAGAGCTGATTATGCTGCTGCTCCAACATCTGACTGAGGAAGAACGATGCAAAGGGCACCTCCACAACAATACCCTGGGTGGAAAGAGGGCAAGGGGAAGGGAAAACTGTAGTCCAAATTCCCACAAAAAACACCGAGAGCATGAAAAATGTATCATCATATAGAGTGAAAAAATGCTGGTGTTTTACGCCCTTCAGATACAGGGAAAGGAGATTGTAAAGGACCATTACTGAGGTGTCACCCATTCTGTCATCCCTTTCACAATCGTAAAAAAACTTTCTTTCCTTTGACCATTCCCTCCCCCTCCTGAAAGCATATTCCAGAGAAGGATGATGATGGGCTGAGTGACCCTTTCCCAAATTATGAAAGCATAAACAGGCTGTAAACTCTCCACCAAAAGAACTGTCTGTGTCCTCATGGAAAAGAACGAAAACATGGACGATGGAACAATACAATGTATATCCCAGAGTGATGGGAAATGAAAGAATATCCTAAAAGATTTGGTTGAGTTGAGTCACAGGATGGTTTTATAACCAAACATTTGGATTTGGCTGAACAATGCATCTTGATTTGGAGGTCATGAACACTGTACTTTTGTTCTTGTTTACACACAGTGAAGGACGTTTTGGACACAGCATCTCCAAACTGACTCTGTGGTAAGATATCACAAAGAAAAGAAATCGGCAATAATTTCATCCTACCTCATAAACAGCTTTGGCAAGCATCTTGCCGACAAACTCAAAGAGGCCCAGATGGTTCTCATTGATGTAGGAGGTTGGACTGGGGTACAGGTGCTGATCACTGGTGGTCTGTCAACAAAGACGACAAGGGTCACACACTAAATTCTTGTATGATGGTGTGGACACCAGCTCTGACTAATTATGAAAAAAGAATTAGTATCTACCCCCCCCCCAAAAAAGGGAAACATCTTCATTGATGGAGCGGTTTCAAAATCCACACTCTACAGGAAATATCTGTCAGGCTTGAGGGGAATTCAAAAGCTAATCTTGCCGTTTTGTGAGGATCAGTTGCCAGAATTCCACATGTTATTTGCACTCTAAGCTCACCTTGAACAAGTTGAGTGTTGGGTTGAAGACAGTTTTGATGATCTCTTCTAGAAACTCTTTGAAGACACCATCCTGATCTATGCCAGCCTCATCTAACCCCTGTCAAATCAACGGTGCAGACGTGCAATAGTCCAAGCACAACAAGAACCGACCATACAGGGTTTGCATGGCTGCCATCTTGCAGGCCCGTGCTTCTGTCCCACAGGGTCCACACAAAGGAAGCTTGCATGTGGAACAAAAGAACTGCCCTGCAAGACGACCACCATGCAAAGCGTCTATCCCTCTCATCTCATTTCCTTCTACTGACAATAAACAAGCTCCATTATTACTCCTTTTCTGGATCCTCTTTCCAAGATTTCCAGGTCTAAACTTATCTGTTGCTTTTCCACACACATGCATCAGCAAAACCATCCAATGACGTACTGCCCTCTGTGTACTAATGCATGCCAAGGGTCTAGTTTGTTTATCATACGCTTAACCTCCTCCAGGTTTCACAGTACCATACAATGAGCAACGCATGCTACTCTGTCAATGCACAGTTGGTATAGTCTTAAGAAATTGAATGGCTCTAGAATTTTATTAGGTGAGCAATGACTGCCCAGAGTAAGATCGTTTGATGCATATACAATAATTTAAAATGCACAAAAAGACGGATGGACGGATGAAATTAATATGTTACCTGCATATTGACGAACCTGACCCTGATAAGCCCCTTTAATGTCTGGGCTGGGAGACCAGCCAGTAGTTGGTACCCATCCTGCAGGCAAAGGTCAAACATTCACCTGAAATTCAGCAGTTGTCTTCACAAATATGGATCTTGTCATAGTTACCGAAGTTATCAAGCTAAAGATTCATACCATAGAAATCAATAAGAAATACTCTGTGATACGTTTTTGTCATTACTGTTAAATATTTATAACATCTGATGCTAGCCTCACCTCTACTAGTCTGGTCCGATGGACTGTAATGAGTGTTGAGTGTGGTGAGTGACTGGCTGTCTCGGTGAAGCCGAGTGCTTTCTTTTCCTCGGCCACCCTCTTGCGAAACAACATTACACGCTGTACAAAACAAATTTTTGAAAAATGGGCTTGCGACACGAACTGACCGACTGGAACTGCAGATTCCTTCCCAAGCTGATGTTATGTGACAGAAATACAGTTAATATATTTGACTTTAATAAACCTGAAGCATCATGGTGTTGCATCAATCTACTCTGAGCATGTGCAAGAGATGGCATGTTTTGGCATATCAGTGGCATCTCACTGGTGGGGAGACACTACACATGCACGCACAAGTTCACACGCACTTGGTATGGGCCATGCTGAACGCAGACGACCAATTTATGTTAGAATGTACAGTCTATGCAAGTTCACCAGGCACAAAAGTTGAAACCTTCTCCTTCTTTGCCTGTATGGGGGTGCTTCTACACAGAGTGCATTAATTGAAAGCAGGGATGTCACTTTTCCCGCAAACCTCTTTGATCTGAGATCTGTGATGTCTACCTGCAGCCACAATGGGCATTACTGGGTATGGCTATGACTATTCATTATGGTGCACTAATAGCAACCTATTAGCTGCAGCCACTAAATAACCAAACATGGCCTGATATCAAACACAGTGGATTATACAGGATTGTTGGACATGTAACATACAAAACAATATTTCTTGAAGTTTTCTAGTCACAATTCCACTAATTTTGCTAAATTTGACTTTACGGTGTTACCTCTCTGTGGGGGATGACGTGCGGCATCTTCTGCAGGATGAGCGTGGTTCTCTTACTGCCCTTCTCTAGCTCTGCCCTGAATGTGGTCAGCTTGAGGTCCTTGATCAGCCAGTGGTTGGATGGGGCAAACTGCCGTCGGCAGTCCCTGTCGTACAGGAGGTGTAGCAGGGAATGTGTGGAGTTGAACAGGCTGGCCTGCTTCACCGTGCCGCCTGGGTTACCAATGAAACGTGGGCAAGTGAAGTCAAGACATATAGTTTGCTGTAGTTTGACTTAATCTGATCAAAAACATTACACCCGTCTGTGATAGTTTGATTTGTCTAGCACACTATTGGGAACTAGCCTACCTAGGATGGTCACATGACTGGTTAACGGTAGCCGAACATTTCAAAATGTAGAACAATGAACCAGGACCTTGAGTTGTGAAGGCTGAAATCCATTTGCCACCATTCGTTAATCAAAACAACCTGTGATGGACTGGCATCCCATCCAGGGGGGGATAGAAATATTCTCAGTCGTTTCATGCCAAGGAACCAGCCTGATGAGCCAAATTGGCTCGGACCAGACTTGTTTATGCATAAAACATATTCTGGCAAAATCTATAAGTGGTTGACCAAAGGTCCCTGACTGAACTTTTCACCAGACAACAAATGACCATTCTTTGACTACAGAGATTAGAACCATACTTCTTAAGAGAGATTATTCGAACATAGAGCGGTTTCAAAATGGGTGGATTCGGCTTAGACTTTGGTTTCGCTGGTTCCAGCTATTTTGTAGCAGAGTTCGAAACCACCTGTTCAAGCTCCGACTGGAACCAACCAAACTGAGGTCAAAGCCAAATCCACTCATTTCGAAAATGCTAAATGTGTCATTACAAACCTTGACAAGTCTTCTTCCAGCATACCTTCAAATCAAAAGAGGTTAGCTTTTATAATTTTAGCAAGTTGGCACAGGGTGCAAGTTATGAACTAACAACTTTTCAACCAATGATCCTAGATTGAATTTGCTCCTTGTTGAAGACATCGTGTTAGATTTTGGTTCCTATAAAATTAGACCAACGGACAGTGTTAAGTGGCAGATTGTCATCTGAAAATATGCTGACCCACAAAAGCTTTGCTTCTGGGAACACGGTGGCAATGGCACTTCAAAGTTGGACAGGATTCTCCCTTTCTTGCATGTAAGGGGAAGCTAGTGAACAGGATCGATCTACCTGAAAATAAAGTACCCTGACCTCTGGGGTATGACTGAGGTTGGGTCACGAAGGAAACAAGTCTACAAGAAAATGTCTAAAACCCAAAAATGCACGACTGCTGGGGACGCTCAGAGGCTTGCCATACCTACGCCATGCTCCCAAATCATCTTGAAGACAAAAGCGTTGAGAAATGCGGTGACGGCGACCAGGTCATCCTGATGGAATGGAATCTGCTGGTCGTAGAACTCAATGTCATCCAGAATCCTATGAAAATAACACAGAAATGCTCATTCAGCTATGCAAACAGTTCGGTGTTGGAGAGATTTAGCAACAATAGCAATTGGCAACTTTTTTAGTGCTAAGGGCACGTCAATGAAGTGCTGAGGTTATTACATTAAATAAACCAAATGATATTAAGAAAACACTTTTCCACAGCAGTGTCATTAATGATAGCAAGACTAAATTAGTATTTATTAATTGCAATATGAATCATTATCTCAGAATCATAATCTAGGAAAGTCAAGCTTAGAGGTCAACTTACGGGATCAAGTAGCTGGCCACATCACAGAAGAGGACCAGCACCGACAGGATGTTGTGGGAATCCACAGAGCACAGGCATTCCTGGAACAGCTTGAGACCGCCGTGGGGTCCCAGCTCGGCAATGAAGTGCCAAAGTCTCGGCAGCAGGAGGTCGCGATAGCTCAAACCTGGGAGAAGATGAACAGAGACCTCCAATGTTTATCATGAATAGATGCAGGTTCAATTGAAACCCCTACCCCCACTCTGCTGGGGGGGTTCAACTTTGGGCAATTTTTATTTTTTGGCCTGGACAGCGTTACTGACCATGCTATGATGTGCAGCCATTTTGCACCCACTTTTGCTTGTACTCCTGGCTGAAATCTTGGATGTGCCCCTTTCCTGAAACAAGGTACACACTCCTTGACACCTGTTCTGCTGGAGCTCCTATTGATTGATGGTGATGATCTTGTGGGATCCTGGGATGGTTTTGACTACAACACTGCTTACCCGTCAGGATGTCTCGTCTGAGTTCTATCAGCGTAGCGATGGCAGTCTGGTACATGTCGCACACGTTACAGACAGCGATGACCTCGGCCGATTGCAGGCTCTTGCCTCCCTTCTGTGTCCCCAGCTTAGAGGTGGTCCTCTGTAGCCGCTTCAAGAAACTACCCCCTGGAACGGAATCACGACTGCTATCATCGGTTTTTCACAGGAGAGAGTAATATGGGACAGACAGGCTTCTCTATTTAAGGACGTTTTCCTGCAAAACTAGGCCCTTTGGGAATCAATACACAAGGAAAACCTGGGGTGAGGGTGTACAGTCGATATCAGCTCTCTGAGGTATTGGGGCAACTTTCTGAGGCAAAGCAGAATTTTACCAAGGGGTTTTAACACTATCTATCTGACATTAACTTAACTTTGTCCTATTTCTGTGTCCTCTTTTCTTAACTTTTGTCTGGGTCTTATGACCTAACTGTAATAGGTTTACCTTTTTTTCTGATTTTATTTTATCAATTTTGCCCAATTTCTGTTGTCTTAGCAGCCATTTCATCTATTTTTCTGTGCCTTCATTCTTCTTTGGGTTTTGGAAGACACACCCCTTTTGCAACAATTTAATTTTAAACTTACATTAAACTTAAATTTAATTATAAGCTTTACAACTGCAAAATGCTTTAATGTGAATGCCTGAATAAACAGTATTATGTAGGGAAAACGAACCTTTGGACTGGGTCTTTGCAGAAGATGTGGGTGATTTGGCTGACGAATCAGGTTCGGGCGCCGCCTTCAGGATGTCAAGAAACACTAACTGCAATATCTGCTGGTCCCACAGCATATTCAACTGCTTCACTACATAGACCATGGCTTCATGTAACCTAGAATGCCAGAAAATGACAAAAGAAAAGCAGAAATAAATAAGACTCGTAGGAAATCCATGGATATCACAATGAATACTACATGTATGTACGAGTTAAAGAGGAATACAAAGTGTACACTGTTAAGTTCTAAAGTAAAGTGCTAAGGTTCAAGTATCATTGGTCAGATAAGACTTTTCTGAAGTTATAGAGCACTGCTTGTGTTGAGTAACAGTTTGACTAGGGAACACTGGACAAATGTGATTTTTTGAGGAATGTGTCTTTAAAGGGAGAATACCTACATTCATTTGTTCTCCATTGTGGGGAAAATTTATGAAGTAGAATACCATGGAAAGGCATTACAATTACAAACTTGTTGAAATATCTATTGTGGGTTAATCATCCCTGCTAGCAGCCGGGAGGCTGAATAACAAAGGACCCAGCCTAATGTAAACATGTAAACATGCTTTGGGCAGCAGCCAAACAATCCCTATTTGACCATGGAACATAGCCAGAGATCAAAAGTGTTGATTTTTGATGAAGGGAAGAAAACTGAAAGACAGAAGAAAACAAATGAACAACTCCACTCACAAACCGCCCAGGATGCGAATCAAACCCGGGACTACAGTGGGGAGAGGAGAGCACTTTACACAAAGCCACCTGTGCAACCCCAACTCCAATGTACAAACTCCTCAACTCTGGATTTGACTTTGAAAAGTGTTTCAAAAATTGAGGCAAAGAGTCTTCAGAAATCCCCTGAATGTAACAGAGAGGTCTGATATCTCCCCATATCTGATAGATGTTGGACGTGAACACCAAGTTGCGGCTTTTGGTGAGCAGTCGCTCTACCTGTGGTCCGTGGGCTGAGAAAACCAGCCGAGAACTGGGTGCCACTGAGTGGTGAGCGACATCTTCTTCCCAACGTAGCTCTGGCAATGAGTGAGTAGGGACACAGTCACTCGCTTGGGGAAATAAACAAAAGGATTCCAGAAAAGTTGGTTAGAACTTTGTAGTTAGTGCAAAATGTAATGTCAGCTTACCATGGATATTAGATCAACAATCTACAATGTTAGCCCCCCCCCAAAATAAAGATAACTGTAAGATGTGGCAAATTCAGTAAGTTACAGTGTGACCAACACTTACAGTAAAAGTTTGAACATTGCTGGACAGAACCTGAAAAAAAAGAAGAAAACATCTGCTTGAGTATTTATTCTTGAAACTTCCGATTCATAAAAGCTACAAAAATGTGCAAGCAAGCCGCAATACATAACATCATGCTAGCTTTATCAACAAATATAATTTCCAAAATGATAACGCACAGTATCCACTCAAAGAATATCGGTGAAGTGAGAGAAGTCAGAATGTATGATTACCTGCTGTTCCAGTTGGCCCAAGTGTACTAGGTTGGCTATGGAAAGGTAAACAAAAGATGCTGTAGCATTATATTGCAAGCTGTCTTCCCATGCTCAAAAGTCACTTTCCAACATTTCACAGCAGGAAACAAATGGAAATTACTTTAAAGTTTGACCATATTTAAGACAAATCGCATCACCGGGGCGGGGGGGAATTTCAAGGGAGGGGCAAAGGACTCAACAATGTTACTGTCTCGTATGATTGCGTATGGTTAATTTGTATATTTTGTTATTGTAAAGTACATTAGAACATTAATTTAATATTATTATTTATTAATGACCTGATAAACCATCACTTGTGAAAGGGGTCAATGTTGAGGTGTTTTCCAACTCAAATTGGTGATTTTCATCTCCTTTCATCTTTTTTTTTCCTTTTTAATTCTTGCAAGTTTTTTTGGGGGGGGGGGCAGGGGGAGGGGAGCCCATGAAGGGCTGCATGGTAAGTACCGTCAGTCAACACCTTTCACCTTACCCAGTAGGCAGAGTGCATAGTTGCCCTCCAGGACATTGAAGATGATTTTTGTGTTCTGTTCCTTGGCAAGAAAGTCCAGACTCTGCTTGAAGAGGTTGTGTTTCTTGATGGACTCAATGCACTGAAAAAAGCATGCACCAACCAAACTATGAGGTTGGACTATGGGCAGGTGTGAGCGACGCCTACAGTTAGCAATAGCTTGACCTATCAAGCATCGCACAAACGATAGATTGCTTGGACCGTCTAGTCGACTCTATTGAGCCAGGCCCTGGGTATGGTCACATTGCTGGTTATCAACTGGACTTCAGTGCTTTTTCACCAAGGCCATACGAAGGCCCAATCTATTCAAAAACATTTCACAAGACAGTTACTCCTACTCTTTGATAAGCAATTTGCTATCATCCAAACACTGACGTGAGTGGCCTGTTTTGAAGGGTGCATTACATCCAATGGGTTAAGCAACATCTGCAAGGTTCTATTTTGAGATACAACACAAAACTGGTTGACCAACTGTAAAGTCTGGAATCCATATCAAAGTCCAAAAATCATTGTCTGTTATTTGTATGTCCCCTTAACATTCATAAGTCAGTCAAATCCTTGGTAGTGGTTGTGCCAGTGGGGGGGGAGGGACTGAATTTTTCAAGACTGACAAGAGGGTCCAATTTTTTTTGTGTCCCTGTGACGGTCTTAATTTCTAAGAGCGATCAAGTAACCCAAAATACCTGCCAAACAAATAAATGCAACTTAAATTCAAATCCAATGATATTTCCATGTCAACTTCCACAGGTCGGGTGTAACAGGAACACCAAAAATGTCACATTTGTAGACCCCAAATTTATGGAATGACCCAAGCAGGTCATGAAAGGTCAGGAAAGGTCATCTGCTTGGTAAACAACACTGCTCACCTTGGGTGCGGTGGAGGCAAGATGTAGTACCATGGCTGGCACTGATAGCACATACAGGTGGAACAGGCTAGCCAAATTATCAGAGTATTTACTAGCAATAACAGGCCTGCAAAATTTAAAAAAAAAGAACAAAAAACTGCAGAAACAGTAAAAATGATCACAGTGCCTGTGATGCAGTGAAACAAGAGAGCCATTTGCTTGTCCTTTTTGTTCCTTCAGTGATGCCAAAAAGAGACTGTGGGCCAGGAGTTGATCATCATATTCTCCTGCACATCTGGGGGATCTTTGCCTGGGTGCCAGACACCCTGGCAAATAACATTCATGTTTGTGCACATTCAGATGAAATGTGTTAGCTGCACTGTTTGCCACAGTATATTTAGGCCTTGGCATCTCTTTGTACTTACTACAGTTTGTGCACATTCATTCAAAAATATGCATGCAAATCACGTCACACACAGCATATCTCCCACATTGTAGCTTGTGCAAGATATTATCTGTTATTTCCTTCAGAAAGTCCATGCAGACATTGGGATTAATGTCATGAAGAACGCATATATAAGACTCACCGCAAGGCAATGGTGAAGAGAGCAGATAGCATTGTGTTTGACAGGCAAGGTTTCTTTCGGGCCACACCCTCCACCAGCAACTGTTGCAGCATGGGGAACAGACCGTGGCTGTTGAGGTAACCCATGACATTAGAGCACAGCTGGTTGAGGCTAGGCCTTAGGGCCTCCGCTGTGGGAACAAGACCAAAAGGAGAAGAACAGTGCACATTACCGATGGACCATGAATGTAAATGACTACAGACTAATATAGTCACCAGAATTTGAAGCCATTACTGTGGGGCCAGGTGGTACTTGCAGTCCTCGCTGACCAACAGGGTGTTGTGACATGCCAAAGTGTACTCAGCTTCAGAATCCATGCTGAGTGTGGTGGCCCTGCAGTAATGACGTCTACTCGCATTAGTCTACAGTTCCAACAAAGTTGCCTGAGTGATAGATGGTTGGACTTTCTAGTCAACCATTTGGAAGCAGGCACTGGGACATGGACAAAGTGCTGGTTATCAAAACTCAATTCCACCATGAACTATGGTTGAGTTGCAGCCAACGGCAAAATGTAAGTGAAAAGATTTTAAAAATGGCTAAATGGGGTTGTTCGGGTGCGATTGGCTTTGTACATGTGCTTTGATATAAAGCAATTGACCGGTGGCCAAATTACAGTAGTGCCTCTAATTTGCCCTCTGTGGACACAAACAGCAATTTCTGGAAGGGGTGAAAAGGTACATACCTCCTTGCACTTTGAGAATCTTCCATGTCGTGGTATCGGTAAACGTGACCAGCATGTGGAGATAAAGGGTGATGATCTTGGCATCAACAGGTGATTCAGGCTGAGAGGGCACAGAAAGACATTAAATAATTGGTAAGGAACTAAAATTATGAAGAATAACTTAATTTACATAAAAGCATGACCAAGTGGCTAGTGTTCACGACTTGCTGTTGGGATGTCTTGGGTTTGAATCCACCTGCTGGCCATTTGCTTCCTCCTTGTAAAAGTAATTGTACCCATGCTAGCCTCTGTCCCTCTGAAGCACAGAAACTGGTACAAGGACCAATTTGAAGATTAGCTTAGAATTCAGTTTAAAAAGTCACAGCAAACCGCTCTGCAGCCAGCCATGAACACTATGTATATATGCTCAACTAACACTCTTACTATGTGCAATGAATATTCAATGTCTAATTTGAATGCATCTGTAAGTCACTGCCAAAAAGCTTGAAAATAGTAACATGTATGCTAAGCAAGCTTAACTGATCATGTAAATGTGTAAGTGAGACACCTTGAGCCGTCTCAGCTTTGTGCAGCACAGATCCAGAATAGACTTCAGCTGTCTGATCCATGGCAACACATGATCCTTGGACAATGCAAGGGACACATACCAGACCTGCAAATAATAAACCATTACAGCTAGCTCTACATAATCATAGTTGGAAGCAACAGACAGAGTGTCACTGGAATTTTTGTCTTGTGCGAACCCTGATTTGGATTCTGAATTCAAAATAGCAAAGGGGATTTAAAAAGAAAGCTATTTTGTCAAGTATCCCAGACTATGTCTACTTGGTACAGAAGAAAGCACTAATGCCCACTTCATTAGCCTACTAGGTATTTGAGGTATGGCAGACAAAAGAGGAGGGCGCTATTTGGTTTGGATACAATCCGTCTTTTACCCACTTCAACCAGCATCCTCCTATTGTGTCCACTATGCTTCAAAAAGGCTAATTCCTGCCATATGTTAACTAGCCTTCAATCCCTCAACTATTTTGGATGATGAAACCATATAACGGTAAAACAAAACCTAGGGTTGGTAAAATTAATAAGCAAATGGTGTGTCTGTACCTTTGGGTCCCCTTTGTCCATGCCAGCTAGTATGTAGCGACACAGTTTCTCAAACCTCTGCACAAGATTGGAAGGGAAGATGTCAGTTTAACATGAAAGCAACACAGATGACACTTCACGTACCTTTTTTTCATTAACACTGAAAATTCACTGGCAAAACCGGGTTCAGTTGGCTAGGCCCGGAAATGCCCATCAACAATTTGTTTTTGCTGCAAGCTTAATGTGACAGCCTCATAAAATCTGCAGTATCACTTAGAACTACCAGGTGTGGATCATCTTGATGGCTTCAGTATTGCTTGATATTGATATCAGTATTGATATCAGGGCCGTTTTCCAATACTAAACTTTGTCTCCGTATCAGGCTTCGTTCCAAAAACCAATCCCCGTTTGTGGGCCTGCAACGTTTAAATGACATTGGATTACTGTAATTTTTGGCTTTTTTGCATCTTATTCTGTGGCACTATTAGACTGATTACTGCGTGTACAGCTTCAAAGTCAGCTATTAAAAAACAGTTGAAGCCTGAGATGAAGCCGAAGTTGAGTATTGGAAAACGGTCCAATACTGTACATGGTGCTTGGTGTCCAAACACTGAAGTATTTACTGTCAAGAAACTGCCCTTGAGTGATGGCACAGAAGTAAAATAGAAAAGATTTATGAGGTTCCGAGCAAACTTTCATTTTTAGGTACCATCCATGTACTCTTCAAGACACTGTAGATAGTTGCTAATAAGCTTTTAGTTTCAAGCGAATCTTGTATGGCAAAGATTTGTTAAATTCTACATGTGAGCTTGCCATTTTGGAGAGCCTAGAATCACCTACCTGCCTGTCCAGGTCGTCCACATACACCATGAGGAATTTACGGACAGCTGGGAAGACATCCTGGGCTATGGGAAACAATCAAACAGACAGATGTTTTTTGCTTAATTGTTTGGCCAAGGTTGTCACATGGGCAAATGTCCGAATGTAAAACAAAGTTTGTATGTGCAGGACCCCAGCTGATTTTTATAACTTCTACTTGACGTAGGCATCAGTAAGAACTGTACATTCCATATGAATATAGTCTCACATGCACACTTTGTCTTACATGCATACAGTCGACAGAGTTGTAACCAAGTCACATATATTTCTAAAAGGCAAGGCAAGTCATTTTACCCTGAGTCAAGTCAAGCCCAAAGTCCTTTCATTGTTTTTTCAAGGCTATCTGACGTCATCATTGACGTGGAAATCAAAGACTTTTTCTGACAGTCTCTGTTAAAAATGATGTGACCTGTGATGTGTTGCACAACAAGTCTGACCTGTCTGCCTGATTTTTTTCCATCATAACATGATCATTTCTCATCTCTGACAAAACATCAAAATAACGACAGGGGGTGCTACAGTATCAATTACACACCTGTAAACCCACGTACATTTGCATACCATGCCCTACAAATGAAAATTGTGACACAAACTCTGTCAGCCTTCATACCAGATCTGAACTGTTGTTTGGTAGCAGTTTGGGACTGTACTGGCTGCGGTGATGATGGAGAAGCTGACGAAGATACACAGGATGCCTCCAGGATGGAATCCAGGCTCTCCAGCATCCACCGCCGATACCTCCGCCTACACAGAAACCCCCGTACCACTGCCTGAGTTCAAAGAAGTTTGGAAAATGGAAGGGCAATTATATATCTCATTTCACACATGTGAAATCTCACAGCCATAGTCACTTTCACGTCATGAGCAAAATGTAGTGATTGACTGTTTTTCATTTTCCTTTTATCAAGAATCAATTATGCTGCACTGGTAAATCTGTGATCCTGCCACTTTCACTTGATCATACAGCAATCGGAAAGAGTTCCATCTATGGATGCCAATAATCATTCCCCACGGTGACCTATTAACATCAGAAAGCAGAAACATGTCCAGAAAAGTTCAATTTAGCAGGGAAAAGACCGAGTCATATGCATAGAAAATACTCGGAATTGTTCAGACTTGTCTTGAAGGGTTAAATTATGGGCAGTGTGAAGCTAGTTACTCACAGTATTCCTTGTTTGATGTTCAACACAAAATGTTGAACAAGTAGGCCTTACTGTTAGATATTCAACTTTGAATAAGTGACCGTTTGACATTCAGGATGCACATCCCTAAAAGTAATGGAATGCATCTGGGACAAGAAACAGACCATGCTAACTACATTTCAGGGCTTGATTGACCCCGAAAAACCCCTATGCCCAGGGTACTTCCTGAACAGTAAGGCACTACTCCATAGGCTTTACTGGGGCCATTTTTTTGATGGTTTCATACGCTATGGCATTTTGAAAAGTGCCCTGCAAACATCAGGTGATCGTACCAAATAAAACAACTGTTTGCGCTTGCTTAGGCCAATCTTAAGACCTTCATATTGAAATTCTGCCTATATCTAACTACCGGGTTTGACTGCATTTTGTAGTGTTTAACCTACATGTATATTATTGTCAAAAAATGAGGTTTTTTCTAACGTCCTCACCTCCCATCCCTCGACGATCTGTTCACTTCTGCATTTGCTTGTGGCTATACTTCACGTGACAAAAACAGACGCAGCATATTTGCATAAAAAACATATATATGATGCTTTGGATACCAGTTCCGATAATTCCGACTACTCATTTTAAGATTATGTTCAGAGACTTCCGGCAAGTCTGTGGTCAGGGAACCACACTAATTACATATCGGCTCGACCATTTTGCAATAAATCCCCGAATTACATGTACATGGAAAACAGAAACTTTATTAGTCCCACAACTTCACAACCGAATCTCTGCAAAATATTATCGTTCCCTGAACTACATTTTTCTCAACATTTTAAGCGTGCGTGAACAGCTAGCATGACAACGCAGCGTGTATTGCGTGCCCTGACATTGTTGCCCCCCCCCTTCCAAAATGGTCGTGGGTGCAAGACGGACGTCGGACCCCACAGTTCTCGTGGTATGCAAACGTGTTTTATCTGGTATGATCACCTGACGTTTACGGGACACTTTTCAAAATGCCATAGCATACACAACCATCAAAAAGATGGCCCCAGTAAGGTCTACGGATTAGTGCCTTTCTCGGGTATGCCCAGGGTTGCCTCTTTGGGAGGGAGTTGTGTGAATACATCATTGTGAAAAGGCATGTACAGCGTAAATAAGGTACAGGTGAATGGATACATGTGCATTGATTGTGACGCAGTTATTTATTTGGTCCCTTTTGCACTCCATCATTTTTAGCGTAGGAGTACAGGTGTGCTACCTGAATGTCACGCTGTTACTGAAGCATGTTATGTCTTACATGACTTCTTCAATTTTGAAATATCAAACGGTTAGTTGTTCGAAGTTGAATGTGGAACCAGGAACTAGCTTCACATCGGTATTCACTGCATGGTATGCCAGCGGAGCATGTGACAAACCAAATTTTAAGTTTTAGGGGCCTGTGTGATGTGATTGTGAATGATTGATTGATCCACCGACTGCCTATAACTTACAAGTACAATACCGACCTGGATTTTCACGGAGGCCTGTTCTCTTTGCTTGTGCTGAGCCCTTTCATTTCTGGACGCCTTAGCCTTCTCAAGTAGTTCGGTCTTTTTGGAAGCTTCTGTTTTACAAAACATATTTCATATCAAAATGTGACCGTGGAGTTGTACTGAACCGAATGATGATGCAGCTAGTACACTTACTTAATGCTTAGTGTATGTAATTTGTTAGCTGTCAACACATCCGCAACTACACTATCACTTCAAGAGGGCGGTCTTTAAATTTTTTAGTAACGGTGGCCTCTTCCAGACACTTAATACAAGTTATATTTGACATACCTTTATTGTAATTCACATCTGTGACACATTAAGAAGTGAATGGGAGGTGCTTACATCGATAAACTTTAAACGACACAACGGCAAGCCAGCAAAAAGCATCCACCATGGACAGAATTTTGAGCAATGGCAAAACATCAGACCAACGGAGAAAAAAGAAAGGACGTGGCGGGTTGAGACCTAGGATTCAGCCGAAAAAAACAGGGGGCAGCTCGAAATAGGCCAGGCAACCTAAAAAAAATATTACTTATGGGAATATTAAAATACTAGTAAAACACACAGTTTAAAAAATTGCTTTGATTTCAAAGAATATATTTTTCGTTCTTTAATGCCAAAATTTGATTTCAATGCCATTTTTTTGCATTAGAAAGAACTATAATTTACACAATTATCTGATTATTTTAAAGCAATTATAAAATTGCTTTGTAATAATCAAGAAGTAATTCATTTTGAGCTCGTTGCAAGATACAGACATCCAGGTTATGTACATGTACATCTACTACATAGCCTAAAATTGCATGGTCATTGGGCATAAACCATTTCTCACTTTTCACCAGAGGATGATTTTGACCAGCCCCAACTTTTTGGTGGTGAGCATGAGAAATTAAGAGATGTGTTTTGGAGGTTTTTTGTTTTGTTTTCTTGTTTTTTTTTCGACCTTCCAGCAAAGATAATATTGAGAGCATGTACTAAAAAAAACCCTTTCACCAGCATCAAAATCCATTATTTTGATGTAAAGTTATGGGCGATGTAAGGTTCAATTAAGGCTACCCCAGTTGCGCACCCGGCCGGGGGGGGGTCGACCGTCAGGGCTTGTATTGAACCTTTTCTGCGGAAAAACGAAGATATACAATAATGTACCATTTTAAACTACTAGCCCTGCCGTAAGTCCTAGTCCCTGAGGCGCAACTTCAGGAGGGAGGTGACTCGAGCATCAGGAGCTATCTGGGTAAATTCCGTTCCAAATCTCCCCCTCCCCTAAAGACAAACCCGGGTGCGCCACTGGACGCACTTGATTTGGGGGTATGCGCTGTTGGATGATCGGAAATCAAACCGTTGTTGTAAAGTGATCTTGGGCAGAACGAAGTGTCTGACAAGGGGCACCATAGAAAACAGCCGGCGAAGCTACGTATCCCATCATTCGTCAGTGACATGTCGTGGAGGCGGAGATGTGTGTTATTTTTTGTCGTATTTTGACGTGAAGTCATCGTACCGTAAAACTCACAAATGAGCAAATTTATCAGCAGTGTGTGGAGGAATACCATGTTAAGAACATCTTGAAGTATGCCTCTATTCAAAAAGAAATCTGGTAAGCTATTAACACGCCAGTTTCAAGTTCATTTTCATGAACCATGGTGCGAAGGAACATCACGAACTGTAGCGTGAGCCATTTCTGAGCCACCCCTTCCCCCGGACGAGCATTCATCCAGCTATATAACCCTAACGTCAGTTGTCAGAGCAGATGTGGGAATGGCCATCTTCTTTAGCTCATAATTGCCTGCATTTAGAGCAGTTTCATTCGGCAGGTGTTTACTGCTTCAGTTGGCATTGTTTGGGGGAGGTGATAATTTTTTATTTTTTTTGGAGGGGGAGGGGCAAAGTGAGGGAGGCCTACACAACTATTTTCAGAAAGAATTCCATACATGGACATCACAAATTTTTCCCAGCAGTGACAATCACCCATCAGAAAGTGATGACTTTAAAAAAAAATTTAATTTAACAAGGAAAATATTGAAGCACTTGCATTAAAACACAAGGATTTTTCAGACCTGAAGTGTGAAAATGTGTGACAGAATGTGTACATTCAATGCTGTCAAGTTTTTTCCTTTTTTTTCAATTTTTTTCCCTAAATTTTCACTGCAGAGATTTGGCCATTAATTGATCTTTGAAATTAAGTTGTCACTGTTGACTGGCACTTACAGTAGGCTACAAAACAAGTTTTCAGACCTTTTTAGTTCAACAATGTCATTGCTAACTGATACTTATGGTCAACTTTAGACTTCATTACCAATGCCTGCCAGTGAAACTTGAGGTTCGTGTCACTTGCACGACTGTTAAGCTGCTCCTAACTGCAAAGCAAGGAGTCATAACGGTGAAATGGAAACATGACAGTCTGGAATTCTCACCAGTAAATTTGATTAAGTTTCCTTCTCATTGTTAAACCTATCCATCCTCAATCCTTCAGAATCCTCCAAGTGAGATTGGAGGATTTTGGAGGAGTAGAGAAATGTGTGACTGTTTTTGAAGGGTGCATTACGTCATGGTCTTGGACCAGACCTTGTGTTGTTTGTGTTCTGCAATGCTTGAACTCAGGCCTCAGCTACATACATGTACATGTGTGTATACATTTGACATCATCTGCACTGTTTCAGGATATTCACCCTGCCTGAGGATTTTGAAGGACTGAGGCAGTGGTTACCCCTCAAAAGAACACCTGATATGAGAACTAATTAATGGAAAATTATAAAAGATCGTGTGCACATTGTGGCATTTGGAGGATTGTGAAGAACTTGGGCATGGGGGCAAGTGTCAAGAATTTTGTACCTGTAAACAAATTTAGCCATCAAGTTTGACCAAAAGTGAGATTTTTCTTCATAGCCAGGATTTATTGTATGTTATTTTGCTTGCTGTTATTTGGTGCACACAGAAAAAAGGCACTCAGCAGCCAATGCACCACAAGCCAGGCCAACACCCTCGATTCCTCCCACCAGTATCCCGTCTACCACTGCAAAGCCACCCCCCTACCCCACCCAGAGGAAACTGGTGCAGACTGGCATCGGCTTGCCCAATGGTGGCGCTCTTGCCTCACTCAGGAATGAACAGCCCACGGAGCAGCAGAGGCGGGAGAGCCTGGGGAAGGAAGCTGGCCTGAGACGGGAGTTCAGCGATGAGGACAACCAGTATGGAGACTTGGGAACAGGTGAGCAGGGCTGCTCTTCTTTACTCAACTGTGGTAAACCATAATGTCATTTAAGGGGCCATCCATTTTTTCCATCATTCACAAGAGTGCCCGAAGAATACTTGTTTTTGGACCCTGTCCCTTTGAGAGTAAAGGGCCCCTAACCCCCACCCCTTGTGCATATTTGTACTCCTGTGATGGTGAAAAAAAGAGGTGAAAAAAATGGATGGCCCCCTAAGAAAGGAAGTGTGGAGAGTGTTATGTTATGATCAAATCATGCAACTTTTTTTGCATTCACTGCTTGTTTAAGTTCATGGCACACATCCTGTGGAACTTTTGATCACAAGTAGTGAAATGGACTTGAGGGTTGTTCATGTTCAGAACCTGTTGAAATGAGTTGTTGGTATTTTAGGCACTGCTGTGCTAGAAGTTCTGAGGAACCTGGTCAAGTCACATATAAATAAACTGTCTTCTTGATGTTGGTGCACCCTGATTTCGACAGATGATGTCACTATCAGCCCCTTAGAATTGGCATACAAGAGCCTTCACGGGACGTTTTCCAATACTCAACCTCGTCTCCGTCTCAGGCTTCATTCCCAAAACCAATCCCCGATTGTGGGCCTGAAGCGTTTACATTAAATTGGATTACTGTGATTTTTTGTTCTCTTGCATCTTATTTGATGTTTTGTGGCACTATTAGACTAATTACTGCGCTTACAGCTTCAAAGGCAGCTAGTTAAAAAGCAGTTGAAGCCTGAGACGGAGCCGAAGTTGAGTATTGGAAAACGGCCATGTATTCCAATTCTAATAACGTCCATCAGTTCAAACAAATTCTTTTCAGGCATGCAGGTTTTCCTCAGATCAGCTGATTTCCTCATTTCACTCCTCATCCATGCCATTGAAAATTGTTTTGTGGTTGAAATTACGAACAAAGTTTGTCACTTCAGCTTTTGGATTTCACAGATGAATCTGATGGAATTATGTTAAGTTTGTCTGGATGCTTATAGAGTGAATACACAAGGGTTACAATTGTGGATGTTGGATTCCAGGTACTAAGCAAGTTGTCAACACTGAGCTGGAGACCAAATCGCGGCTGTGCCGAACCCTCCCGGAGGTGTTGCATGACAACGGAGCCTTGGCCTACTTCATCCAGTTCATGCAGGCCCAGAACGCTGTCCATCTGGTCCAGTTCTGGCTGGCCACTGAGAGTTTCTCCACGGCCTCCTGGTCCAGGCTGCGCTCGGAATCCCTCACCAATGCCAGCAAGAGCATAGCCGAGCAGAAGCCCCGGGCTGGCTCCAAGACAACTCTCACCGATAGCCTGCTACCCCAGGCCGACAGCCAAATGAGCGGCGAATCCAATGTCAGTATTCCTCATTTGTCCCAACCGAATGTAACCCAGGATGGCATGGCCAACTCGGGCCAGAACAACAATGACCAAACTGAAAGTAAGGAACCAAGCAGTCAGACAAATGAGGCAAATGTTAAAACGCACTCCAGAGCCAAATCGGACTCGCTTATTGCCATTGAGCGAACGAAACCCGAGGCCAGTCCAGCTGAGCTTGGCCACAGAAGAACCAACTCATGGAAAGGTGTTGATCCAAGAACAGGTAGGGTTTTAAAATAATGGCAATTGAACAAAAAGTAATATTTTTATTCGAAAAACAAATGAAATTAAAGAGAGAAAATTGATTAGAGAACAGTTAAAATTTTTACAGAATAAGAACATTATTTTGGAAAGTCAAAGACTGGAAGACATAAATCCCAAATGGAAGAAAACAGAAAGACCCCACAAAACTATCAACAGTTGACATTGTCTGTTTTCTGTCTTCTTGTTCATCTTCCCATTGTCTTACAGCTGTCGAGAGGGATGCATCCAACATCTTCACTAGATATCTGTGCAAGGATGCACCTCTGCCCGTTGGAATTACTGATGAAATCAGACTGGACGTTATTGGTAAAAATACACAGACTTTTGGTTCATTTTTTCAATGTTACAAGCAGGATGGTTATCAGTTTTTCCTTACAGAAGTTGTAAACAGGTGTATCTGAGAAATGTCAGGAAGTTTGTTTGGGTAGCATAGAAAACTGATAAACTGTGGCTTGGATGCTTGTTTTGAAATTAGCTAATTGGAGTCAGCAGTCAGCATACATGTAGCATATGCATTTGGCTTACCCTTTGTCGGTGATCGAAGTTGACACCATGATGTGCTCATTCATTGTTTTGTAAGGTCACAACCTTCGTCTATTTTATAGCAAAACCAAACAAAAGTTGTGACTACTCAAATGTAAGAAACAAGATACACTACTTAATGTGTCTATTCGATGAGGCTTAAAGTCGGGCTTGAGTGCACTTGTGAGACCACTGTTGGGACCTTTCATGGGGCCAATGATTTACCTCAATCGCGGATAACGTATGGAATTCACAGAATCAGCCTTTTGAAATGGAATCCACTGCTTTAAACGGAACTTGCAAAATTTCCCACTAAGAATGGTTTCAAAAATACATATAAAGAAAGCTTTCTGCCAAGTACTACAAATAAATACCTACCAAACCCTTTTCAAATGCCTGCTTTTAATGAACGAATTATGCTGGAAACATGCTAAATTGCACCACTCCACCTCATGATTGGGTTGTCCGCACTGGTACCAATACTTGCAAGCGCTATGGCGTGCATTAGCCCCATGCGTGCAGCGGCAGGCGGCACAGTGCAGCGGCCCGGTATGGTACACACATTGGCTGTTCACACGTGCACCGTACTAGCAATGAAATCAAGGCGCAAACAAGTTCATACTCACACATATGACTATTGCACACGTGGGGAATTCAGACTGGGAATCTGCATAGATGCCTTGAGACAAGGCTAGTACCACATTGCAAAACAATTAAACTGCGGCAGCAAGAGAAAGACAAATTGCATATTTCTTGCATTAAACAAAACTTGGTAAGCTTGGTGTACTATCGCTGAATGGGCCCTCGGAAGTGTTCAATGAAGAGTGAAGTTTTCAGTCACAAACATAAACTTTAAGGCTCAGATTTAATGTTAATTCTGCCAAATAAAATGGCGGGTCGATGTCCAACATTAAAGATTATGATCAACGACTGTTGCATGCAAGACCTACTCTGTAACTTCACTGCAAATGTACTTGTATGTAATCTGATTTTATACACGAGGAGTGGCACATGAATTGTCCGTTTTCGGGCACTGGGCGACGAGCAGAGATTGCATTGCTCAACCTTGAACACGGCTCTTTAATCTGTAACACGTATAGAATGCTTACCATGCCCTGGGTATAAGAACTTTCTGCTAGTCTTGTTTCTGCCGCCACAGCTATAACTTTGGGAACTCGTAGCATGGATATGAGCCAAGTTTGTGCTCCGGAAGCATCACATCATTTCTTACTGTGCACGTACATGTGCACACTGACAGAGGTTTTGTGGCCTTTTTTCATAGTTGACTATGCTGGCAGTTTCCGATATTATAGAGTGGGCTTCCAGGTATAACACATGAACATGTACTTAGACTTGGACTTTAGTACTCAGACTCGGCCCAGTACTCAGCCTTGAATGTACTTTTACTTGGTGCTTTGGACTCGGACTTATCACCAGTGCACTTGTACTTAGCCCAGGACTCAGCCCCTAAAATACTCAGAGTATTCTGTACTCGGATTTGAGTATTAAATTCCAGCACAGGCTCTAACCTGATGATTCCTAATTTGATCAGATTTGGCTGGTGTGCATGTTTGATGTACCACAAATAAGAGAGTAATTTCTTTCCATTCTGTTTCAGCCAAAATGTGTCCACAGGAAGGCTGGCTAAATCCAGACTGCTTCAAGACAGCACAGAACTTTGTGTTTGATTCCATGGAGATGCAGTAAGTGAATGCGTGAGAGCTCATTGATTGACAACTTTAATACCAATCTTTACCTGCCATTTCCTGCAGAAAATACTCTGTGTAGCATGATTACAATGGCCAGGAAAAATCTGGGTCCAAATCAGATGGCTATGGCTAGGAGTAACACATGTTTTATGGAAAGTGGCTGCAGCCGCTAGCCCTGTGGCTTCCATGTGTGCCTGTGTCAATCATGGCCGCTGCTATGACTTTTTCGACATTGCTATAGGCTGACTGATTCACATACATTTGCAATCATTCTGGTGTGTGAATTATACGTAGTTCGTGGGACCAGTTTTGAACTTAATGCTCACAAAAACAAAATAACAGAAAAGAGCTTTAGAATGATTAGAACTGATAGCTGATTTGGAGTGGTTGAGAGTTTTTAAGGGTGTGTTCAGACATGGAGATGTCTTGAGTGGTGTGGGATAGTGTCTTGTACTTATTTCAGGTGTATCTCCGATGTAACGGAAACGTAATCCTCTCAAAGTTAATACGCTGTCTGAACATGGTCTGAATTACATGTATATATAACATTTATGTATTAAATTGTTTGCATGCCGTAATGCGTAACTTGTAAAATGTATTTTGGAGAATTATTGAAGCAATTCAAATATCATCAATTTTCCTCATTTTATGCAGCTTTTTCCAGCCATTCCTAAGGAGCGAGTTCCACTGTAAATACCAAATCGACGTACTAACCACAGGCAAGGCCTACCTTGCCGACATTCTGTATAATGACACCGCAACATTCTACTTCATGGAGGTAAGTTAACAGCCTCTTGGATTTCATTCTTTTCTGGATAGGTCACCCCTCCATGAGAACCTTACACTTATAGTGTAATGCCCTGATTGTCTGGTTTGATTCTTCCCCTTAGTATATGGAACAGGAAGGTGTTGTACACCTGCTACAGTTCTGGTTGGCTGCAGAGAACTTTCAGAAGCACCTGCTGTCCCAGCAGGGTCAGTATGACAGCGGAGAAGCACAGAGTGACGCCATGGTGTTATATGATCAGTAAGTGTGTTTGCATTAACCCTCCTTTGGTTTTACAGCACAATTGTGCACAAAATGCCCACAGTCACTGGTGAGCATGTATTTTCTATACGGAACTCAAACATGCACAGGTTCAGTGTGTACACAGTAGATTGCCAGCACAAGATGACCCAGGGTCTTTTATGCAGTCCTCTTCACTGCATTTGGTTTACTGCACAATTATGCGCATGAAACAGTGAAGCACA